CAACAAGAATTCATTTAAGTTGAAGTTGAGGGCTACTGTTAGGGTTACAGATAAGGCATATCTTCTACCCTACGACTCATGAAATATGCCGATAAGGTATATCTTCGCGTACATGGATTGTTTCCATGTATACCGTTAGGAATCTATCCCAAATTATGGAAAATGTCCCTAGGGTCAAACGATTTTCATAAGTCCTACTCAGAAGGGATATAATTTCTGTTATACCGTATCGGATCAGATGTCCTCAGGTCTTTCTTGGGGGTCAAGATGATCTACGGTATAAAAGGGACCCCAGGGAAGGGTACATGGCATCGAATTTCATCGCCAACACACCCACCATAGTTTATGAAGCCGGAGCACGCGGAGCCAAGTCGCCGGGAGATCTCGTCGAACTCATCAACTACGATCTTGTCGGCATCATCTGTTTCGTCTACTCTCTTTATAATCTGTTCTCATCTTCATCAATCCCATATAAACTGGACTAGGACTATTACCTGATAAGAGGCCTAAACCAGTATAATCCTTATCTTTTGTCTGCTTGATATCCTACTACGTAGAACCTCGTTCCAACGTACCCCAAAACTCAACTCATCCGATCCGCGAGTATCACTCGTCAACACACACATATATATACATATATATACACATATATATACATACATACATATATATATACATATATATATATACGTACGTACATACATATATATATATATATATATATATATATATATATATATATATATATATATATATATATATATATATATATATATATATATATATATATAATAAAGGATAAAAGGATTATAGATCGGTATCTTAAGTCCCGTATTTGGGGTACCGGTTGCATCCCCGGAACTAAAGGGGGTATGCAACTGGGACTAAAGATGGTTTGCCCAACAGTGACTCACTTCAATTCACGTGTTACGGCTGTTTAGTAATAAGGACATTTCAGCTGTAACGATCCAAGGACAGCATAGTACCATCCTTTGGTATTCAGAGGACTACATAGTAGTTTGCCCAACAGTGACTCATTTCAATTCACGTGTTACGACTGTTCAGTAATAAGGACATTTCAGCTGTAACGATCGAAAGTACTGCATATTACCATCGTTTGGTATTTAGGAGGACCACATAGTACCATATCGTTTGGTACATATTTGCTCAGTTTCAAAACTAAGTGTGCAGTTCAGCAGTAACGATCAAAGGACGGTATAGTACCATCCTAGGTATACAGGAGCGCATAGTACCATCCTAGGTATACATAGTACCATCGTTTGGTATATATTCGCTCAGTTTAAAAAATAAGTGTTTCCTCCGGCCAAAAATGTTTGTAATTGTAAGGTGGGCACGAGCATTAAGAAAGTAATAAGTGAAAACAATTGGAGAAAAGTCGTTATTGGTTGAGAAGAAATAGCATATGTCATGAAATTAAATGGATAATGATTGTGGTCGGTTGAGAGAAAATGATATGTATAGAAATAACTTTATTTTGGGACAAGTTATTGTTCTAAACATAATTATATTTTGGTCTGGATATAGTTACTGGTATGTTTATTCTTCATACTTCGTAATATCATGATATGTCTAATCAGGTACAAACTTGCTACATTTTAAAATAGAGATGATATAACCGATAGATATCTTTTTCCTAACGAATCAGTACATCATGAGTAACAATGTCATGTACAAATAACGCAGTTCTGTCAGTTACTGATATGGTCGATCTATGCCTAATGTTGCTGTGTCAAAGGCTTTTGAGCAGTAACGTACGACAGGAGGACCACATAGTATAGTACATCCTTTGGTATACAGAGCCTCTACCTGCCTAGAATGTGATGTTAGACATCTACCGATATATATATCTGAATGTACCAATACCTTGCAATGTTTATATATATATATCATAAGGGCTCAATTTAGTGGATAAGAATTTCATATTCTTTGAACCATATGCAAGAAACATTTTCTTTGAGTTGGAAAACCCATTTCCAATAAAACTGGACACTACTAAAAAAAGATTTGTCATGGTGTCACCTTATAATTTTTGCTGGCGGTCATACGCGAAAAACGTAACGAGGGGTGAGGGCCTATGGACCGCCAGTAAAAACCGATTTTTGCTGGAGGCCACGCTAATAGATCAGCCATAAAAAAACTTTATTTTTCAAGGCGGACCTCTTAAGTGTCCGCCAACGAAAATCGCGTTTTCATTGGCAGCAGATAAAAAGGACCGTTGCTAGAAAAAATTGAGGTGAATAAAATCCACCGTGCACCCCCACCTCCCACCAAACTCACCCTCTCTCCCTTCTCCCTCCCTTCTCCAGTTCCCTTCTCTACTACCACCGGCTGCTGTCGCCACCCCACCACCGTCGGCTGCCCTCGCCTCCACCGCCATCACATCAGCCTCGAGAAGGCGGATCTGTCGTCGCCATGCCTCGGGAGCGGCGTGGGGAAGGGGGCAGCGGCGAAGGTGGCTCTCGGCATCAACGGCGCGGGGAAGGGGGCAGCACGGAGTGGATCCGGTGCCTCCTCCTCCCTCCCCATTGGCGGTGGCGGCCAAGAGGAGGGATGGTGGCTGTAAGGCGGCTTGCGCAGGCGACGGCGGTGTTTGGGAGAGGCGGATCCGGCGCCGGCAGGTCTCGGGAGTGCGGATTGAGTGTCGGTGTGCTTCCATAGGGCGGATCCACCGCCACCAAGCCTCAGAATTGGCGTGAGGAAGGGTGTGGCGGTGGCGGCTCTCGGTGTCAGCAACGTCAGCTCTCGGCATCAGCGGCGTGGGGGAGGGGGCGGAGGGAGCGGATCCGGCACCTCCTCCTCCCTCCCCACCGGTGGCGGTGGCAAAGAGGAGGGATGGCAGCAGTGAGGTGGCTCGCGCAAGTGGTGGCAGTGCTCGGGAGAGTTGGAACCGGCGCCGGTGGTGCTCGAGTCCGACGACGATGACCTCGGGTTCACAGCGACCATGACGATCTCGAGTCCACCGCGACCACAATGGCAACCTCGAGTGCAATGACACCGGCGGTGGGTTCGCTTGGGCCAATGGCGGTCGGCGGATATTTTTGATGATTAAGTGTTGTTAATATGTTCTGCTGATGATGCCAATTTTGATATTTGTGATGCTCTGTATTTGAATTGATGCTTGAATGAACAGCAGCTTCCTGGATGAGATGGTAGAAAGGGATTTAGGGGGATTTATTTTTTTTCCTGAAAAATCATTTTCATTGGCGGTTGGCATAATATTACTGCCTACAGAAGTCTATTTTCGCTTACGGTCCAGTGAAAATCTATTTAATTAGCATCGGAATCTTCTTCCGTTCTTCTATTTAATTAGCATTCTGTCAAAAAATTCTGTTAAGCTTCCTTCATTTACTTCTACATTTTTTAGGAGAAAGCTTTCGAAACTGTCAAGGTGAAGGATGAATCTGGATATTTCAGTTCTACTAGTAATGTACTGGTACATGCAGTGTCGAAGCCAAAAAAATCTTAGGCTGAGCTAATAAGAGCTTAAATACTTTTATAAATTACATAGCATTTTGTAAATTATAATGGGAATTATGGTGCTAGACATAGAAATCAAGCCATAGCTGCCCTATTCCTATATCCGCCCTGGCCAGATCCAATCGTGGGATGGGATGGGCTGGGCAGGGTATGCAATGCGAGAAGACGTGGACGGTCGGATGGACGTGGGGAGAAGGAAATCGTTATATCAAAAGTTAAGCTTTTAAGTATTACTCCCTCCCTCCGTTTTAATTTTTTTTCTCTGATCAAAGTCAAACTACTTTAAGTTAACTTAAAAAGTTTGATTAAGTTTCTAAAAAAATAATAACATTTTCAATTCAAGATAAATTTATTATGAATACATATTCAATTATATATTAATTTAATAAAACTAATTTGATATTATAAATATTAATATGATTTTGCTATATATTTGTCGACAAATTTTCTCACAAAAATTTGACAGATATAATTACAGTACAATCGTAGTGTAATTACACTGTAACTATAATGTAACTTATACGTACTTTCAAAAATCTCTTTGTAATATGTTATTTCGGTAAAATGGAGGTTGTGGGAACAAATCCTTACACATATGTGTGTGCTGTGATTTTTTTCCTCACCAAAACAAATCTTGTAATAGATTTAACAATTCAAAATTACGTGAAACTTATATATACAAGTTAAGTCAAACTACTTTAAGTTTAAGTTTGATTAAGTTTGTAAAAAAATAATAACATTTTCAATTTAAGTTTAAGTTTGATTAAGTTTGTAAAAAAATAATAACATTTTCAATTCAAGATAAATTTATTTTGAATACATATTCAATTATATATTAATTTAATAAAACTAATTTGATATTATAAATATTAATACGATTTTGCTATATATTTGTCGACAAATTTTCTCCCAAAAATTTGACAGTTATAATTACAGTACAATCGTAGTGTAATTACACTGTAACTTGCATGTAATTACACTGTAACTATAGTGTAACTTGTACGTAACTTTCATAAATCTCTTTGTAATATGTTATTTCAGTAAAATGGAGGTTGTGGGAACAAATCCTTACACATATGTGTGTGTTGTGATTTTTTTTCCTTACCAAAACAAATCTTGTAATAGATTTAACAATTTAAAATTACGTGAAACTTATATATACAAGTTACACTGTAGTTACATGCAAGTTACAGTGTAATTACATATAAGTTGCAGTGTAATTACACTACGATTGGACTATAATTACATCTGTCAAATTTTTAGGAGAAAATTTGTCGACAAATGTATAGGTGGTCCCAAATATTTGTCTATAAATTTAGTCAAACTTAAAACAGTTTAATTTTAACTAAAGTCAAAAACATCTTATAACCATAAACGTTATAAACAGAGGGAGTACATAATAACAAATTTTTCGAGCAATAAATAACACACCAATGGTGTGCTCATCTATCAGGACACGGGACGTAGCTTCTTCTCGTTTGGGCACCCAACAAGCAAGGATACCATCGATCATCTCAATTAAGCTATAATGGCCATCTTCACCGCGCACTGGCGAAAGGCGGAGCTCGTGGCACCGGCGAGGCCAACCCCGCACGAGCACAAGGTCCTCTCCGACATTGACACCCAGCGTGGACTGCAGTTCTACACCGCCGGAGTCGAGTTCTTCCGTCGCCGCCATCACGCTGCGGCCGTCTTCTCCGGTGGTGACGACGACAATAGCGGTGACCTGGTGGGTATCATCAGAGCAGCGCTGGCGGAGGCGCTGGTGAGCTTCTACCCACTGGCCGGCCGCCTCCGGGAGCTCCCCGTCGTCGCAGGTGGAGGAGGAGGAGGAGGTAAGCTGGTTGTGGAGTGCACGGCGGAAGGGGTGGTTTTCGTGGAGGCCGACGCCGACGTGCGGTTGCAGGAGCTCGTCCACGGCCAGCCGCTGGGCCCTCCGTACCCGTGCGTGGAGGAGCTCCTCTGCAGCAACCTCGTCGGCGAACCTGACGTCGTCCTTGGCAAGCCACTGCTCTTCCTGCAGGTAGATATGTAGTATATTCAACGTAACCACGTTTTACTATAATGCTGCGTTTTCTGACTACTTATCTTTTTTTTACATATAGCGTTTTAGTTCTATTAAAAGATTATATAAATATTATTTATTTTGTTGTGACATGTTCTACCATTAAAGAAACTTAACTGAGGTATAACTTGTAATTTCGCATAATTACTCTAACTAATTTTTTAACCACACCAATGGTTAGACATTATTAGAATATTTAATGGTGAATGGAGGTTGTATAATCTTGATTTTCTCCATGGACGGGCAGTTAAGTAGATATCTTATGAACTCGAATATTTATAAAACCTCAAAACCTCCCAACTTCCGGTGAAGCTAATTTCTACTCCCTCCAAGTTGATAATACTTGTTTTAGACAAGAGTGAGGTCAAACTTTAGAATATTTGATTATAAATAATTTTTTAAAATATTTTTCTTTCAAATATGGTGATTACATGTATAGGCCTCGTTTAGATCAAAAAAATTTTGGCAAAAAAACGTCACATCAAATGTTTTTACATATGCATGGGGTATTAAAGGTGAGAAAAAAATCAATTGCACAATTTGCATGTAAATTGCGAGACAAATCTTTTGAGCCTAATTACACCATGATTTGACAATGTGATGCTATAGTAAACATTTACTAATGATAGATTAGTTAGGCTTAATAAATTTGTCTCACCGTTTACTGACGGAATCTGTAATTTGTCTTGTTATTAGTCTATGTTTAATACTTCAAATGTGTGTTCGTACATATTATAATGGAAAATAATCGTCAAATTTTTTTTAGATCGTGCTCTTGTCCAAAACGACAAGTATTATCAAATCAAAGAGTGTAATTGATGATACGAGCAATCAAAAAGAAATGTTTAATATGTATTAATTACAGCGTGATATCTATCTATTATCTATTATATTATATACTCAAAGTCCATTAAACTTCCTACAAACACTCTCAATTGGCCATGTAAGACTCCTAAAAACACTCGCAAGTCGTCATGTGGCATCTAACTATCACTTTCCTTTAAATAAGGTGGACCCATTAAATTAAATTTATCAAAAAAGGAAAAACCACGTTCCACCGTTTCCATCTTGTACGTGGTACTGGTGCACGTACCTATGTACGTTAGTCCTCCGCCTCACGCTCAACCTCCACTCCTATTATCTCTCTCCTTTATATGTGTTGTATTAGAAAGAATTAAAATGTTTTTCTAGAATTTATTAAATTTATTAGAGCACCATGTGGTGACATAGGAGTATTTGTAGGCGCCACATGACAACTTGAGAGCGTTAATTTTTTGGGTTTCATATTATTTTTATTTATGATATGTGTTGTTAATCATGTGCTTTCAAAATATTTATGATTTTCCCATACAAATGTATCGTGAGTGTCAAATAGCTGGTCCAAATTAATGCATTTCCTTTACATGGTAAATATAATTGTAAATTTGTTGTAAATAAAAAATGTATGTGGAAAAAAATTAGTCATATGATTTAGATCTTTAGTTGTTTTATTTATTAACAGAATTAACCAATTATATTTATATTTAAAAGGCCCACACACATGCCATTCATACGTGGCTGTTAGTACGTACTTCATACACCGGGTCCCACGTTCCTCCATTTCTTTTTCTCTTTTTCATTCACATGAGATAAAAACCGAATTAATTATTTCAGCCCATAGATATTAATTCCAGCCCATATATATATAAGTACATGTACTACGTATTTAGTATGGTTGGCCCCACGTCGTCCCTCTTTTTCTTTTATTTTTCTTTTTCACTCACATGTCATAAAACCCAAATTAATTGTTCCACCTCATATTTGTAAAAGTATATGTTATTTTAAGTTGTATTAGGCAAAACACATCATCAAAACATTCATAAAATATAAATAAATGAATACTATGCACTATATATATATCACTTAAAAATCTAAATACATATATTAAATTAGACTTACATTTTCAAAAAATTACTTACTCCATACTGTTAAAATATTAATATATCAAAATGAGGTTAGTAAATTTATTACGTATTGCATGTTTTTCTTTATTTATATATTATTAAAAATTAAGTATCAAATATATTATTTTGACATCGTGTCGTTGTCCTTTGTCTCCTACTTTAAACTCCGTTCGATCAAGCTCATTGGGTGAGCTTATCCAGGGCGCGTGGAATGATGCAAGTCATTAGCACAAGATTAATTGAGTATTAAATATTAAAAAATAAAAATAAATTTACTTGATTTTTTTAAAAAAAACTTTTATATAAAAGGTATTTGCAAAACATGTATACCGTTTAGCAGTTTCGAGAAACATGCTCAATATAAATAAGAGAGAGTAGCCAATTCGATAAGCACAGAACACAACCTTAAATTTATTACTTAGGTACTAAAACATTAATACGTAGTATACAATATACATGATCAATCATAACCTTAAATATCAAACGTATGTCATCACTGATCTCTATATATGTAAGCTGTATCTCCGTATACAATATACTCTATATACAAGCCAATGTCCACTAATCGCTAAATAATATTACTCGTAATCATGCACAATACACCAACGGTTAGCTCATATCCAATGATCACGTGTGTCATTCAGCACCAAGGATAAAGGGTGATACTAGGTGCGCAACCATCAAGAAATTATAAGTAAATAGAAGATGCAGACAATCTACTACAAACAATAGTTGACTACAAGTACATTACAACTGTGAGTAATACTATTCCTACACTTCTACAAATGCTCCTAAGATGCCACGTGATGCTCTAATAAATTAGAAAGAATCTATGAAAAATATATAAAAAAGTAAAACATTTATCCATCAATTTATAATTAAATCAATAATCCATTATTTTCAACCATTAAATTAGATATACTAAAGTAATCTCTATATGCTAAAAACTGTAGAATTCTCTACATACGTACACAACTCCTACATAAGTACGTACACAAGAGATCTAAAAAGAAAAAAAAAGGAAAGAGTGTGTGTATATTATCCATCCCATCTGGTAGATTTCTCTTTCTTTCCGGCTCTAAGATTTTTCAAAATTGAGGATATATAAATGTAGTAACCACTCTTACCGAGGTGGTAAAACAAGCCAAGCCATGGCGCTGCCTTACACCACTCATTGCTCCACCCTCTTCCCGTTGATTTTCTTGAAAGTATTTTTTTTACTAATAATGTAAAAGGCAATCATATGAACTCATATAAATATGTGCAGATACACACTATGAGTACACATGCGTACACCGTATCACTATGTTAGAAAAATATATGTCTAAAAAAGAAAAATATTTTTATGTCATTCTCATCCAAATAGTGTTAACAAATTAGCACAAATTCCAACACATATTAAACCATACGTACATGCATAGAAGAATTAGATGTATAATACAAGTAAAAACATCAAAACCCTAAGTTAGCAAATGATCATCGTGTGAGCAAATATTTTTATGTGGTCCTTGCCAATGAAGATATTAAATAATCGAATTATCAATCGTGCTATTTTTTTAAAAAAAATATGTCTATACTACTAAAATTTACCACTATTGATTAACACCATAAACGCATTATGTCTACTCTATACAAAAATCAACTCAAGACGCAAAAAACCATTTTTCATTATCTCCATCTTCTTTCACTCATTCCCTAAACGGTGATAAGCATGGGTCTCAACTGGCTACGCTATAGTAAACTATGTAGGAGTATGCATTATTCACTTGAGGTGGTCCAAGTTAGAGATTACCATTAAAAATAGAGTTTAACTGGCCTACTTACTGATAAAATTGTGCTTCACACTTGTCTTGAGAAGCACGACTAAATCAATACGAGACCCATGAATTAAGGTATTAGAGAAAAACCCTTAGCGGCTAAAGTCGGCTTCACCCGGTCGTTAGAGGGGCATTCATATATAAGTTTAATGATTTTATCCTATTAATTGGTAGAAGCGGTATTTTTAAATATTAATATATAGATTTGGAAACATGTGAGACATGGGCACTTGGGTATGATGTGGAGATTAACTTTTTATGACATTAATGATATATTGGGTTTATTTTTAGGTATAACTGCAATTCCATCTATTAATATGACACTCATATTTCAAGACAATGATAATAAGTAGTGGTGATAGACGCATTTACATACTCCCTCCGTACTCATAAAGGAAGTCGTTTTGGACAGCGACAAGGTCTCGAAAACACAATTTTGACTTCTTATTTCTATAAGAATATTTATTGAAAAGTGATATATTGATACTTTTATGAAAGTATTTTTCAAGACAAATATATTTATGTAAGTTTTGAATTTTCAAACTCAACAACTTGAGAGTTATTCATGATTTATATTCCCAATGTTTTGACTTAAACATTGTCCTAAATAATTTCCTTTACGAGTACGGAGGGACTATAACCGGCACATAGTAATTTTTTGTTTGGGTATGATAGGAATTCTTATAATTTACTATATTTAAATCTATCATCTATTTCTTATAGTGAATATGGTGAGATAGGGCTTCTTTTAGTATTATTTTCATAGACAATAAATAAATTGCCCGCGTATCTGCACGGGCTTCCTTCCTAGTTATTAATATAATTTAAAGTTGTTTGATGCACCAATTTTGGAAATACCTAATTTTCAATTAAAAAATTCAGTGAAGAATTGCCTTAAGAGAGAAAGTATCTATCAGGGTGAGGAAACAAAATTTACACAAAAGCAGTGTTTAAAATGATGCACGTTTGATTTCTGAACTACGGATTTGGCCGGTCTGATTTTAACCATTCAAGTACAAAACGAGCTACTGTTGGTATCTTGGCTATATCAAAACCGTCTATAGTAGTAAACGGTATCATATTCGAGCGATAAAAATTGGGTAAAAGACTATATCTATATATTTAAGGGATCAAATGTGAACCTTTTCAAAAATATATAGTACTCTAGTATCTCCTTGAGGGACTATAAAAAAACTCATGGCAAACATGTTTTTGTTTACTAAAATATATATATAACTCTAGTATGACACAAATTTCGCTAAATTTAACCATTTTCTTGATAAATTAAAAAAAATCAGCTAGCAGAACAAACTACCAGGAGTCAGAAATAATGCTAAACTTAACATATATGCAAGTCGGATGCAACAAAGGCTTTAAATATTGGGCTATAGCTGTTTGAGAAGAGTCTAGCAACTTGTTCAATTTAGCCACCATTAGTATCTACTCACTAAGCCTGATTTAATCTGCTATTAGCTGTTTGAAAAGGTCAATACATGTTTTAGCCAGCTATTTAAAACACTATGTACAACACCAATATATCCCTTTGCTCACCATTACGATTGCATGTACACATACACAGGTGACACGACTCAGAAACAACGAAGGGTTCTGTATTGGCTACCACTACTGCCACACCATCACCGACGCATTCGGCATGGCCCAGCTGCTCGACACCATCTACCGCCTCGCGCGCGGCGACGGCGATCCCCTCACCAATCCACCGGTCTGGGAGAGGGAGCGCCTTGTCGTCGCGCCGTCTGCCTCGCCACGCATCACCCACTATGAGCACCCGGCGTATGAGCCGCTGCCCATCTCATCCTCCGCCGCGGCGGCCCAGGACGACGTCGTGCGGATGACGCCGCGCGAGCAGATGGTTACCCGCTACTTCTACCTCGGCCCAACGGAGATGGCAGCCATGCGTGGCCATGTTCGGTCATCGGCCACCGTCTTCGAGCTCGTCACCGCCGCGCTGTGGCGGTGCCGCACGGCGGCGCTGGAGTACGCGGCCAAGCAGCGCGTGCGCGTCCTGGTCATGTCGAGCGCGCGCTGGAGCTGGAAGCGCGACCCGCCGCTACCACGCGGCTTCTACGGCAACATGCTCGTGCCGCAGATCGCCGAGGCCACCGTCGGCGAGCTGTGCGGCTTGCCACTCGCCCACGCGGTGGAGCTCGTGAGGAGGAGGAAGTTCGCCGTGACGGACGAGTACATGCGGTCCATGCTCGACATGCTGGCGCGGCGTAGTCGGCCGTTCTTCAACCTAGACTGGACGTTCGTGGTGGCTGACGCCGGTGGCCTTGGCCGTAGCATGGGCGAAGCGGCCACTGCCACGGTCGGCAGGTGGGAGCGTGTTGGGGGCGGCATCACGGCGGCCGGACAGGTGATTGCGGCGAGCCTATATAGCTGCTATGAGAGGTGCAGGCGGGGAGCAGGAGAGGAAGCCGCCGTGGTGTCCATGTGCTTGCCAGCGCCGGCAATGGAGAGGTTCGCGCGGGAGATCACGGTGTGCTCCAGCTCAGTAATGAGCGCCATCTAGTTAGTACATCCAGACCAACTGGTGGCAAGTTGATCGGGCTTCGTCGTGTTACTATGCATGGCGATGGGGCATGGACCAGGATCCTCTGCAGTTAAAATCACATGATTTTATTAGTGACACGTAGACCCGATGACTTTGTCCCTAGGTCCACATATCAGTGACAAAGGCACTGTGCATTAGCAAGATACAGTGCTGCTCATACCAAACGCCATTGGACTGGAGTTAAAAATGTCTTTCGATATCCTAATGGCACAAGAGATCTTGGAATTTTCTTTAAAAAGAACCAGGATTCGACTTTAATTGGGTATACTGATGCTGGCTATCTATCTGATCCCCACAACACCAGATCACAAGGTGGGATTGCTATTTCATGGAAGTCTTCTAAACAGACTCTGATAGCCACTTCCACAAATCATTCTGAAATAATGACATTATATGAGGCATCACGTGAATGTGTATGGCTTCGTAGAATAACCACATATTAACATTTTGTGGTATTGGTTCATTAGAATCACCTACCATTATCTATGAAGATAATGCCGCTTGTGTTGTTCAGATAGAAACTTGTTATATTAAGAGCAACATCACTAAGCATATTGCTCCTAAATTATTTTATCCTCATGAGCTTTAGTAACATGGAGAGATAAATATCTTGCAAACTAAGTCATGCGATAATCTTACTGATTTATTCACAAAATCTCTGCCATACTCCACATTCTTTAAATGTGTAGAAGGAATTGGTATGAGACGACTTAAAATTTTGCAGGATTTCAGGGGGAGTACCTCCCTCTGGAAAATAACCTATTTTCATCATATTATACCCTTTATCCTTTGTATGAGTTTTACCCTTTAGGTTTTCTCATCCAAATTTTTTAACGATGTAATATCAACATAAGTTATATGTCTTATCATTTTGGTTTTCTCCACTGGGGTTTTTACTAAATGATAATTGTAGATATTATACTATTTTTCGATCATACAATGAGCTTTACTCATAACGATCTAAAAATAGTCAATTATATATCACGGTTCTCTCCTTATTTTTCCCACTGGGTTTTCGAGGAGTTTTACGTGATGTATTTAATATACTAACTGTAATTATTTCTAAGATTATCTTTACAGATATCTGGAACACTAAATGAGCAATGATCAAAGCATTCGATCAAGGGGGAGTGTTATGAAATATTTGAGTGATCTCATCCATCTATATGGATAGAGCAGTAACCAATTCATGGGCACGACGGTTGTGTGGTGCCCCACATCTTCTCGCCCTCACGGCGATTCTAGCAACGGACGCGATGGTTCCCAAACGATCGCGTCTTCGGTTGCCGCCTCACTCCCCCTATATATTGTAACTACTGTTATCAATAAAGGATCCGCTCATTCATTCCCTTTACATTCCCTCTCGCTCCCATCAATTCTATTCACTATAGAACTCACACTACCTTAGTTTTGGCCTTGAATGATTAATCTATATTATCTCTCTTATTTTTTCTATTCTCATTGAGCCACTTCATTCTATTTTTCATTTTAATGATTAATCTATATATAATTTAAATTGTTATAAATCACATCATATCAATTGTTTGTAAATTTTTTTTCAATACTCGATCAAATATGAATATGTAAAGTATATAAATTTACATTGTCTAGCTATATTACATATTATTTCAACTGTTATCATACAAAACTCTGGTACCAACACTTGAAGTTTCATCAAGTTAGTTGTATGATTAGTGATCATCGGGATTAGGGGTGGGCGTTCGGTTTATTCGGGTTCTCCGGTTCGGTTTGTACGGTTTTGTGGATGTTAGGTTTTTGAGAAATACCAACCATTGTTATTAGAAGAAATGAAAATACCGAGCCAAGATAAACCGAACAACTTTGGTTCGGTGTCGGTTTCTATCGAACAAGCCGACTAAGCGCTATGCCTCTACCCACAGAGATACAATCGCACTACTGGGCTGATTGGGTAAATTTTTATCATTTGCTCAGACCCAACATGGACTTTTTGTGTGCAATGGGGCTCTGATGGGCTGTGCGTCCTCTAAACGGGCCAACATCATCAATAACTCGCAATGGGATGGGATACAGTGCGCGCTCCAGCCGCTGAGAACGACTACCTCGGTTTTATCGGGACTTTGGTTCATGCATGATAAAAACCGATCTCTAAACCAAGCACCGAAGAAAGGCATAATAAATTCCACGTCGTCTCCCGAAAACCCAAAAACCGCTAGTTTGGTTCGGTTCGGTTCTCGGTATACGGTTTATTTGTGCCCACCCCTTATCGGGATGGCATTCATTCATTCATAATTTTCAATTGCCACATACTGCATCTTATCACATAGCAATTATTAGAATTAAAGTTTAACATATAAGTATATCACATTATTACTGACCAACAATTATTATTATGAGGAGCATCTTAAATCTCATACATGACACAACATTTAAAATATAATATTATAAAGCTCAACATATAAGTATGTCAAATAATCTTACTCACTTCATTTTTACAGTATTTTAACATTCATCATTTATTGTATAATAGTAATTCATCCATACATGTAGCAAACATGTGTATCTTAGTTCTTTTCCCTACTGTAACTCTTCAGCTCACAACTTCATTATATATGTTGTAGATATTTGTACATGACTGTCATTGGTTCTGTACAAGCACAAGAGCGAATTCAGCGTTAAGTTGCAAGAAGTGGTCGTGCTATATTTCTGCAATAATTGGCATCTCCATGGTATATTTTCCGCAAAAATATTACGGAAGAACAAAAGGCTATTTAAATAGGAAGAATCCATCTGAGGGAGGAACACCTCCGAAAATGGTACTAATGAATATGCATCTTCCTAGCTCACTAGTACTCCTCATCACCACTGTTTAGCAACAGCAGTTAAGATGTTTTTTTCTTAATTACATCATGAATATAATCCATCAGCAAATAGTGCAGTTCTGTCAGTTATCAATTATATATTAAGATGGAATGTCTCTGTCTATTGCTGCTGTGCCAACAAATTTGTTGTCTGTTGGTTGTCTTTTTTTTCATCACTGAAGTATACCGACTCCCCATCCTCTGAAAAAGATGCAACACTATGAAATACTTCCTCTCTACTATCACTGGATCTAGCCATACCTTGCAAGTTGCAATATTTATATATCACCAGTTCGTGCCATAAACAACCAACTAAAAAAACTAAAATCGAGGTTAGCACCTCACAAAGTTGACAAATAAGGATGTGCTCTTCTTATCCGTTCGTTAGCTTAACAGCCACAACTAAAATTTGAATTTGAAAATTTAACTTTGGATCGGAGTTAGTTTTTTTTTTTTGGGGGGGGAGGGGGGTGGTTCTATTATAATTTATTTCTGAGCATTGCCTTTTAAACCGCTAATAACAAATGTAAAAGTTTTAACCATAAATTATATTTGGTTGTTTTGTTTATTTTTATGCCTTATCAACTGTAGCTCAAGGCTTTGGGTCTGTCCATGCTTCATCGATCTTTTCATCTTGCAATACATAACACTAGTCTTAAGGAGTCATTTATTGGTTAAAGTCATTTTTTTAACATATTGGAGATGCCCAATGCAAGGGTCTCTCATATTTATAGCAAAGTTAAAATGTATAAATTAACTTATATTTGGAATTAGTTGGAGTAAATAAAAATGTTACACGATGATCTTCAGTCTATCCTTCGATCACACACTTGCTACATAGCAGAGAAGTTACTCTGTTTCTTAATATATGACGCCGTTGACATGCATTTTGAGATGCGTTTGACCATTCATATTATTTTAAAAAATATGTAATTATTATTTATTTTATTGTGACTTGATTTATTGTCAAATATTATTTAAGCATGACTTAATTTTTTTTATATTTACACAAAAATTTTGAATAAGACTAATGGTCACGCGTTTGTCAAAAAGTCAATGATATTATATATTAAAAAACGGAGGTAGTATAAAAGTGGAATCTATATGGTAGGAAAATAGCTACATAGCAAAGTATAAAAGTGGAATCTAAATAGTAGGAAAACATGAAGTATCTTACAGGTATATGCAACTGGAAACACAAAATTATACTGGAGTAAATCACAATATCTAAATTGTCCGAAAGTTGCAGTAGGACTCAACAATACACCATATATATAACCTCGCATACAATTTGTGAGTAGCCCTAGCTAATTCATGTACATATATGTTATATCACATTGCACATAGTATAGTTTAGCGGGACTGCGTAAAAGATCCAACCCAGGTAGGGCAACAGTGGCCACGTGCATAATTACAAAGTTATATTTATAGTTAGATTCGTTTCTATTCATTTTCATTTATGCCAGTAATGAAACAGTGGCTCGCTGCCAAGTGCTTCAAGGGACCAGCAACAAGTACGTACGACGATTGGTGACAGTGACGAGCGTCGATGGCGATGGGCTGGATATCTGTAACGGTGGGCTGGGGCTAATTTTTCCTCTGGTTTTCCTGTTAGTGACAGCTCCTCTTTTCAAGCCATTACAGATGTCTTACATCCAGGGGCGAATCCACAATGGGGGCGGAGGGGTCTTGAGACCCCACTAACACCCCCGGGACAGTGGAGACCCCCCTAAGCCCCCACTAATTTTTTTTCCATAGATCCATAGGATGTGAGGACTGGAAGTTCGATTTATATTGATGTAGTTTATTTAACCCCCACTACTATTTTTTTCTAGATCCGCCCGTGCTTACATCTGTAACGAGTGGAGAGCCATTAGAGATGATTGGCCATATCAGTGAATAACTCTATGTAATGGCTGGCCAAGCTGTTAAACATGCATGGATGTTAAACATGCATGGAAGTTTAGAGCCGTTATAGTTAACTCGGTTTGTGCTACACTACCATAGAAAACATTATTGGTGCCAGTTAACAACCCCACATAGGTGCTAGATTTTCCAACCTATACCGCTCAAGCGGCACTAGTGTGGTGCTATCATAGGTGCCGGTCCTAAACTGGCACCTTTGAGATTCTATGAATAAAAAAAAGAGAAAAAGTTGGCTCGATGTATTAGCTTGGATTGAACCGATGGTTTGAGCGGCCCCAATCGCCCCTGAGATGCATCAACATCAACACATAAACCATAGCAGAATTAAACAAGAGATGCATCTTAACACACAAACAATGATAGAGTCGAACAAAATTGACATACAAGAACAAATAAAGAACACAGAGAGGACGCAGAAGAAGAGAAGCCCACCGCCGCCCTTTCCTCCGCATTGTCGGTGATATCCGCCGTTGAACCGAGCGCGGATCATGGTAGCTAGATCCAACGGCCACTGAGCACCAGCCGACCGGATATGTCGGTCCATGACCTCCGGACGGCTAACACCGCCACCAGCCCATCAAGTCACTGGTTCTATATGTGGCCAAATTCATCGCCCTCCTAAACACCTGTTGCCCGCCCACAGAGAGGAAGAGGAAAGGGAGAGAGCCGAGAGAGGAGGAGGTGTTGCTGGCTAGGAGGAGAACTGGGGACGGCGCATGGCGGCTTCGCTCCAAGACTACAGGCGATGGTGGAGCGAAGGCAGCGGGCAAAAGCAGTGTTGTGGGGGCGAGGAGGATGTGTGGCAGCGGTGTGACGCTGTGGGGCGAGGAGAAGGCACGGTTGCAGTGGACAGAAGGGTCGCTACGGGCAAGGAGCGAAGTATGGAGAGAAAGCGGCGAGATAGACAGAGTGAGCGAGAGGGCGAGAAGATAAGGACGGGTGGGAGGGAAGGAGCGAGAGGATCAGGGTGAGGCTAAGAAAGGCTTAAAAAACGGAGAGAGAGGAGCTACTGCTCTGCTCTATCCTAAAAGTGCCTTTTTTATATATAAAACCTGGTAATTTTATCTTATATACATGTGCATTCATAGGTGCCGGTGATTATTGAAAACTGGCACCTATATCGTCACATAGTTGTTGGTTCTCCCAGAAGGTGTCTTGTGAGTGCACTTTCGGACAGAAAAAGCACTATATAGGTGTCATTTCTATAATTCTTGTCATCGTCCTAATTTTGTGTTTTTATAGTAGTGCCAGTATAGTATTTTTCTCCTAAAATTCTGTTAATTTTCCCTTACTTTTTTATTTTTTTAATGGAGAAAACATTTAATGCTAAAGGTGAACATGGATCTTTTTATATTAGTGGTATATATCAAAAGTTGTGAGCTTTCAGTACAACATAACCAAATAATTAATTTTCCAAGCAAATAAATAGTTCGCCAATTAATGGCGTGTGTTCATCAATCGGGATCAGGACACGAACGACACATGAGGAGACGCACTAGCTATCTAGCTCCTTTTCGTTTGCCCACCGGAGACGCGGGAAGTCGAGCTAAGACAGCCGAGGGCACCATCACCAAGCTACATAATGGCCACCTTCTTCACGGCGCGCCGGCGGAAGGCGGAGCTCGTGGCACCGGCGAGGCCAACGCCGCACGAGCACAAGCCCCTCTCCGACATCGACAGCCAGCGCGGGCTGGAGCTCTACGCCGCCGGCGTCGAGTTCTTCCGTCGCCGCCATCACGCTGCGGCCGTCTTCTCCGGTGGTGACGACGACAATAGCGGTGACCCGGTGGGTATCATCAGAGCGGCGCTGGCGGAGGCGCTGGTGAGCTTCTACCCGCTGGCCGGCCGCATCCGGGAGCTCCCCGCCGCCGGAGGAGGAGGAGGTGGAGGCGGTAAGCTGGTGGTGGAGTGCACGGCGGAAGGGGTGGTGTTCGTGGAGGCCGACGCCGACGTGCGGCTGCAGGAGCTCGGCCATGGCCAGCCGCTGGGCCCTCCGTACCCGTGCGTCGAGGAGCTCCTCTGCAGTAACGACCTCGTCGGCGAACCTGACGTCGTCGTTGGCAAGCCGCTGATCTTCATGCAGGTTTATATATACTACCTCCATCCCAAAATGTTTGACGCCGTTGACTTTTTTTAAAATGTTTGACTGTTCGTCTTATTCAAAAAATTTAAGTAATTGTTAATTCTTTTTCTATCATTTGATTTATTGTTAAATATACTTTTATGTTTACATATAGTTTTACATATATCACAAAAGTTTTTAAATAAAACAAACGGTCAAACATGTTTAAAAAAGTCAACGGTGTCAAACATTTAGGGAAGGAGGAAGTATATTCAACTTAACCCTGTTTTACAAAATAACTAGAAGTAGGAGGGAAGAAAGCGGCATCTCTGTATTTCTAAATGATAAAATTAACTATGACGGCTCAATTCTTTATATCTATATGCAAAGTTTTTTTTGTAAAATGTTCATATATGCTTAGTCATTCACATATATCATGTAGTTGGTCTTGAACCTTCAAACCTTGATTGCAGGTGAAGAATTTGAGACCTTAATTGCACATATTAAATTTGATGAATACAACGAAAAACAAAATGTTCGGACAATAGAGAACTAATTATTCTTTGAATTTCGATACTCTATTTGATTTCTCTCTCGAGTTGCTCAAAGATCTTTCCTTAATGACTCGCGAGCATTTTACCATGATTTATAGTGATGCTAGTCACTTTATTGCAATTTTGATAAATTTAGCTAATTGTGTTGGCATTGATTAATCTGAAGTTTAGAAGTTTATGGCTACAATAGATATCCATAGTTTGGGCGACCGTCAACCCATGACTCCCTAACTTGTTTGGTGCCTATAGAAATAGTAGTTAAGGCCCGCTTGAGTTCTTATTATATTATTATATCTAAGGTTGTGTTAATTGAATGTTGTAAGCTATAGCCTTCTAGATATATCATGTTAGCAAATTATACATGTTTCAAGCCGACGCGACTTAAATAATATTACATAGATACTTGAGTTGAGAGAAGGTTTAGTCATAAAATTAAATTATTTGTGCTGGTGTTCCCTTGTTGCCTTCTCTTAAGTCAAAAAATGAGAGAACCAAATGGATAAATTCGTTTGAAAAAGAGAATTGCATAAAAATAAGCGACAGTGTTTTAAGAACAGAGGCTAAGTGAGTATATGAGTTGTATATGGGTCCGCAATTTTATAATACTATTACTATCGGAAACAACAAAAAGGTGCTTTTTATTCACATAATATTACAATATTAAAAGAAAGAACATAGGCTAAGTGAATGCGAAGAAAACCATTTTGATGTTTGCATCAAATCGCTGATTATCTCATTCAGAGTCATATAAATACATCCAATGAACTGAACAAAATAAATACAGGAAATTGGGGATGGAAGCCGGATCCATGAACTGGGATATGCATTGATCTTAAGTGATGCCTACAAAGAAAATTGAAGCAAAAATATTCAGTTAGCCGGTGCAAAATTAATCGATGCAAGTAATCAAAACAAACTAACCATCTGAAAGTGTTCCGCGCGCTGATCCGCTGAAATTGAAACTGATTCACTGAAGCATCACAGAATCAGGAATCGAACAAACGCAGAGCTTCACGCATTAGGGGATTAGGCTAAAATTGAAACTGATTGACTAAAGCATCACAGAATCAGGAATCGAACAAACGCAGATTAGGCAGAGAAGCAAACACGACAAATCAAGAGCATTGCCCCGTACCTAAATTACCGGCGGCGAACCCACCGAACGCCGTGCTCCGAGCGCAGACACCACCACAACCCACCACTACGCCTCCTGCTGCCACACGCACGGGTCTCCTCTTCTCTCTCTGCTCGCAGCGCGCGGTCATGTCCCGTCGATTCCTCGCATTGGATGGCCACCGTATCACTTTATGGACGGGCGTTGCCGTCGAGTTATTACAGTGGAAGGAGTTAATCCGGGCCGACGGTTCCAAGAAGAGGAAACGTAGAGACAGAAAGGCATGACCACTATGCTGCTACTGCTGCTGCTGAGGATAGGGAAGGGATGTGAGAGACATGCTGGGCTGGACCAATGAATTGATGGGTTGTTAGAGAAGGGAACATGTGCTGCGCTTAGACCGAGCGATCTAGGACGTGCAAGTAATGCTGATCCGATGGCTGTAAAATAGTGCTGACGTGGCTTCACCTGGTGGCTACTTTATAGGAGTAATTGCTTATAGTGGGTACCACCTATATAGAAAGAATGGATATGCCTTCTCTGTGGTGGCTCTAATCTCTACTATATAAAAGAATCTAGTGAACGTGGTGATGAATCTGCCACCCCCTCGAGTTGGTGGGATCTTCTAAGCCTAGATAAATGGAGTATATCTGTGCAGGTGGCTTGGCCTTTTTTTTTTTGGATATTTGCTTGCAAATTTTATATTCTAATAAGTATATATTTTCAAGTTAAGAACTTACAATATATATTTTGAAATCCATTGCATTGGGCTATTTTGTTAGTCACCAAAACAAAATATCTCCTATATATGGGCTCTTTCACTGATGCATTGGATGGCTGGCAACCTCGTACATCTCGATGCTTACTATAACCCCGTGAACATTGTAACATGTCACTACAACCTCACACGCTATTTGCTCAATTTATTGTTTGAGGAGATCTAGTTATTTGCTCAACTTAGCCACTATTATAGCCTTATTTATGAGCTATTAGCTGTTTGGAAAGACCGATCGCCAAACGTACTAATTAAAACACTACGTCCACACACCAATATATCCCTTTGCTCACCAGTACGATCTGCTTGTACACATACTCAGGTGACACGATTCAGAAACAACGAAGGGTTCTGTATCGGCTACCACTACTGCCACTCCATCACCGACGCATTCGGCATGGCCCAGCTGCTCCACACCGTCTGCCGCCTCGCGGGCGGCGACGACGACGGCGAGTCCCTCAACGATCCGCCGGTCTGGGAGAGGGACCTCCTCGCCGTCGCGCCACGACGCTCCTCGCCACGCATCAGGCACGTCGTCGAGCATCCCGCCTACGACCCGCTGCCCGTCTCATCGGCCGCGGCGAAGGACGTCGTGTGGACGACACCGCGCGAGCAGATGGTGACCCGCTACTTCCACCTCGGCCCGACGGAGATGGCAGCCCTGCGAGCCCATGTTCTGTCGTCCGCCACTGTCTTCGAGCTCGTCACCACCGTGCTGTGGCGGTGCCGGGCGGCGGCGCTGGGGTACGCCGCGGCGCAGCGCGTCCGCGTCCTGGTCATGTCGAGCGCGCGCTGGAGCTGGAAACGCAATCCGCCGCTGCCGCGCGGCTTCTACGGCAACTTGCTCGTCCCGCAGGTCGCCGAGGCCACCGCCGGCGAGCTGTGCGGCCGGCCACTCGCCCACGCGGTGGAGCTCGTGCGGGGGAGGAAGTTCGCCGTGACGGACGAGTACATGCGGTCCATGCTCGACATGCTGGCGCGGCGCGGCCGGCCGTTCTTCAACCTGGACTGGACGTTCGTGGTGGCTGACGCCGGTGGCCTCGGCCGTAGCCTGGGCGTCGTCGGAAGGTGGGAGCGCGCCGGCGGCGGCCTCACGCCGGTTGGACAGGCGACTGCGGCGAGCATGTACAGCTACTACGAGAGGTGCAAGATTGGAGCAGGAGAGGAAGCCGCAGTGGTGTCCATGTGCTTGCCGGCGCCGGCGATGGAGAGGTTCGTGCGGGAGATCACCGGATGCTCCAACACCAGATCAGCGAAGAGCGCCATGTAGAGGCAAGTCGGGCTTTGTTGGGCCATGATTGTGCTACTTTGTACGGGCTATTGGGCAATATCGTGTTTAGGCAGCTCTATAAAGCATGGCCATTATCAATTGATAGGAGAAGATTTATAATGGTTGGGTGGCCATGACGGGTTGTCGAAAAAACTCAGCAATCAGGGTGACTTCTCGATATACCAGGAGGGCATAGTTAGGGGTATTATCTACGTAATTGTATAATAGTAAGTGTAGACTAAAAATGATTATATAATGATTATTTTCTTATTCATTCTCCAGTTAGCTTAGAATATTATACTAATCAGAGTATTCTGATTAATTTCTTATGTGTGTCAATCTACCCTACTCTTGAATTGATTAACCCCTGAATTAGACTTTGATCTATACATGTGATATAAATTATTAGCATAGTTCTCTCTTGTCATATCTTACCTTGCGATTAAATAAATACGATACCTTGAAATAATTCTGGGTGAATTGCTACAACAGTATATCCGTGTGCTTGCAGATTATATCTGTAATCGTAAAGAATACCGAGAAGTATTTCAGGCGTCATTGCTGGGAATTATGTTCCTAGTAATGTCGTTACGAAATATCAACAAGCATTTCAAAGTTGGGTGGTTAGACCGTAGCTATAACACCCCAGGTAGCCACATACCTAGAGTGCCACACCAAAATACACTTAAAACCACTAACTCCCAAAATTATTAGAAATTTTGGCAAAGTCTCCTCTAAAAATATGGACATCCACGACAGGCAATTATAAGATAACTCAATAACGATATAAACCACACAATCCAACCCATCCTAGCTCCACAAATTCCACGTGAAAATAAGGACCAGAACTTTAAATGACCTTTACAAGTTCTACGCAAAACTTATGCTAAGCAGAAATATAGTCTAAAACTAAATTTTAATAGTGTGCAATAATAATATAGTGTGCAATAATAATGTGTAGTTCAAGGGTGCTACTTCCGTCCCATGCCACTCAATATCATTAGGTACCTAAAAACCAAATTAAAACACAAGAGTGAGTAAAGAATACTCAGCAAGTACAATATTGAACTAGTAAAAATACACAGGTTTAATGTAATAATAAAACCAATATGAAACATTTGATTTTCTTTAATTTAAAACGAAGGAAGCAAAAAGTAGTAGTTCCCTCCCCAGTAGGTATGAATATTCTCTTAGCATTACCGTTAAGCCGAGCAAGCGTAATCAGCGCTTCTCAAGGATCATGAATGAAGATCCAAATTGCATTCCCATGACTACTCATGGTACTTGAATAATATAAACAAAAACATCCGAAATAATGAAACATGAATAACGTCATGAACTTTACATAGAGTGAAACATGAATATGTAGCATAATAACGAATCCACACAATGAGTGATAGTAAGTTTTCGAATAATAATTAGGAATGTGAAACTAAACAAGAAAACACAGTTTATACATCACATAAGTCCGTCTTGTACTTGCCTTAACTCCTTCGATACTCCGACTTAACTTCTCCAATATTGGAACCCCCCACAGCTGTGGAGCAAAACTACGCATAAACCACTATTACTAAAATCAATAACCTAGAACATATAAACTTTTACCGATTTGTATTAAACAATTCACCTATAGCAGTTCTATTACTGTTTTAAACGTAACTCATAAACCATCTAACGGAATCTAGTAAATAATACAACTTCGGACATCTAGACAAAATTGGTTACAACTTTCATGTTGCGCGAAAAATCAGATTGTGCCTCTGTAAATCCCAGATTAAGGAAAATGAATTGCTGTCCTGACTTCTGGACCCAGCAGTACTGTTTTTGTTGTTTCTCCCAAACCGTTTATCGGAATTGAGTGAAACCAGTGGTGTTAGAAAGATATCGACGATGACTACAAACTTTATTTAGGACAACTAATGTGAATCCCGATGGTTTAATACCATATTTGAAAATACGGTTTCAGCCTAGCGTTCGATAAAAAATAAATTCGAACTACCGGAAACGGATCGTCTTAAATATAAATTAGAAACAACTAGGGACTAAAACGGATTACTTAGTACTACTAATTTATAAGAAAAACAAAGAATTTGGAAATATTCACCAAATTCCCCAAATTTCCCTTCTTCTATCAAATTTCCCCTTCTCTTCTCTGATCGCTGCAACAGCTACCAGCAGCAGCAGCAACAGCCCTAGCAGCAGCAGCCAGCAGCGGCAGCAATCAGCGGCAGCAGCAATTGCATGCGGCAGCAGCAACCACCAGCAGCAACCAAGATCGGTGGCAGGAACTCACCAAGAACGAGCCGAGCAGGAGGAAACAAGTGGCCGCGATGGACGACAACGAAGGACGACGATGGCTGAACAGCCGTCGTCGGCAGCGCCGGCGGTGACACAACAGCAGCAGCAGCGGCACTGTTTTTTTCTCTTTTTTTTCGTTTTTCTTTTGGTTGGTTATATAAAGAGACTGAAAAGATCTAACGGCCCACATTGTTTTCGGCGAGCTCTACACATCCACGGTTCGGCGAGCTATTTTGCACGACTCCGTTTACTGTAAACTTATAGTCTATTTTGCACTATTTGGCGAGCTCTACACATCCATGGCTCCTGATCGCCTATTCGAACAATGGCTTAAAAATTAAACTTTTACGCGTTTGTGCTAATGTTCCCAGAAATATACTATTTCGAAACTCGGGGCATTACAGTAGCTACTCCACCAGTCAGACCGGACTTCACCGAACGATCGGACCGGCACACCTACTCCGGTTAGACCGATCGTCATCGAAACTAAAGGTAACTTTTAATTCTGTAAAAGTTTCAATGTTTGGGTACTACAACCATTCACCCCCTCTGGTTGGCTTAGTTCTTGCTGTTCAATCCTACGAGTGGTATCAGAGTTATGACACATGATATGAATGGCTCCATGTATGATGCTAAGCTCTTGAACATTATTGATCATAATTCCTATGCTTGATGAAATTATTGTCAAAAGGGGAGAAGAGATACAAGTGCATGTTTTACAAGTCAAGGGAAATTTCTTTCTTTCTAAAAGTGAGAAAAGTTTTTTAAAAAATATTTTGAGCACTCCAATGTTTTTTCTACCACTTTTGTTTTTATTTTTTCAAACGCCAAAATATTTTGGATGAGTTTGCCAATGTATTCATCAAGGGGGAGATTGTAAAATCAAAGTGTGTTTGATCGTTATTTTGTGATGAAAAATTGGCATATGAGATTATTGGTTTTGATAGTTGGAGATTATTGGCGAAGTGGTTTTGGAGATGATTGATATTACAGGTGATGAACATGAACTGCAGACAATTTGTGACTGGTCGGACCGAGCTTTGGTAGCTTGTCAGACCGGAGCTATGTGAGCGGCTAAACCAGCCAGCCCGCGGTTTGGCCGGGCGACTCTGTGTTAATTTCGGTTTAGGGTTGATTATTTGGATAATCGTGGATAACTCATGTTTATGACTTCTAGATGGATACTATGCGTATGTAATACTATTCTTTGCTAACAATTAGTCAAGTTGGTGATAACTTGTGCTTAGATATGGTTTCTTGGTTCGTGCATGTGTAGGTGGTCTTGATGCCTCAAGAGAGTGTTCCCAACGATGGATCGGGAGTCAACTTGGGAGAAGATGGTGTCCGGACGATCCGGATATTATGCGGTATGCTTAGGCTAAAGATCAATGCACGTGCTTGGTGAAGATTTTTTATGGCATACGATGGAGATATTGTGTGCTATGGGATGCGTTGTCAAATTTGGTACAATTGGAGTTTGTAAAGTGTGTTTCTTGTACATGAAGGTTTCTCTCAGTATCGTTTTTGGGAGAGTTGAGTTGAGAAAAAAGTTAGGGTTTCGTGTCTAGTCAAGATTTTCGTGAGGAATGTTGTTGCACATTATAAACACAGAGAGAAGTAATAAAATTTCAATCTTTAAGGGATCTTCGATTTGTGTTTGCTTAGGTTCGGTGGTCCAACTAGTGGGACACCAACGGTCAAACCGTCGCATCTGCGCAGTAAGACCGGTGAGGACATGGCGGTTAGACCTACTAAGGCGACAGGCGACAACAGTGAGTTGGGCGGTTAGACCGGAGCTACTCCACCGGTTAGACCGGAGTTCACCGAACGGTCAGACCGGCGCACCTACTCCTGTTAGACCGATCGTCATCGAAATTGATGATAACTTTTAATTCCGCTAAAAGCATATGTTTTTGGGTACCACAACCATTCACCCCCCTCTGCTTGTCTTAGTTCTTGTTGTTTGATCCTACACATTTTACACCGGTAATGGGCCAATTACAGGCCATCCAAGCAAGCCTTAGTGACATTTCTTGTATATTTTTTTCAAACCTCTTCCCAGCTTGTGAATACTTCGTCCCAAGATTAGCATTTCAAATTTATTCTAAACTATAAGGATTTCTAGAATACCATTTCCTTAATTTAATTTTCACCCAATCGCAAGTATTTCCCCTTCTAGGTTTGTAAATCGAATCAACCCTCCCACTCCTCACCACACCTCTCATTTAATTAATGAAGGACATCATATTTTTTTCCCCTCGATATTAAACTTAATTTTAAAATGGTCCACGAGTTCTATACTCCTGTAAAAAGAAGTGGTGGTGAGTGGTGAACGTGGCACCACCCCAAGCACCACCTCCCTACATTTTGGAATATGGAGAGGACATGTGGGGCTAGAGGGCCCACAAGTTAACCACCCCCACCACCAACTCTACTTATTGTGGGAAGGGAAAAATAATAGGGTGGGACAAGAGGGTCCACATATCAGTTACAAATTTATATAAAAACGGGTTAATGATAGTTTCTATTAATTAAAACCCCGTTGCAACGCGCAGACAGCATTCTAGTTTACATTAATGTATATACAGCATAGTAAAAACCTCTGCCCATGTTTTCCTATAAAATTCAATTTGATCACATATTGGTGAGTTATGATAATGACCACAATTAGCTGCTCATGACTCCTTAAGACAAAAACCATGGTTTAGTTTCCTGTCCACTTCATCATAGCAAAATTAATGTTGGATTCTTTAATAGAAAGTATTGATGTAAACATTTCATTCTATTATTTCTAGGAACTTCATAAACAAAATTTGCTTTATGTGATTCAGACATACTTGAGGTGCTGTAGTACTTGCATCATAGAATTAAGGCTCAAACAGCAAACAGTCTCATTGTTTAATTCTATCGATGTCTAACCTTTAATATATGTTACATTATAATCTGATGAGCTAAATATAAACAACGTAGCAGTGACATCTACGAATAGAATAAAGTCTCTCTGTAATAATTAAGCACAATTGGCAAATGAATTAAAATCACAACATGAGCAAAAAAATGAAAATAAATCTGATTTTGGTCTAGGAACAAAATACATGGTTAGAAGTCTAGAAAACAAAATTTTACATGTACTTCTCAATTATTTAATGTATCACTAGTTTAAATTTCAAGCTCAGATTCATTTATTTTAACAGAAAGACTATGAAAACTCAAGCAAATGATGAATCAAATTAAGTGGAAAAGGAAACCTTTTTCCATCACAGGTACCTTTCCCTCCTCTTTCCACTTAATCCGCTGAACCATATATTTGTGTTGTCTACCATGAGTCCACGACACTGTGATGTACTAATTAAGATTTGATGTTATAGCCTAGAAAAAGTACTGTTCACACCGATAGAGATCCAGTTAAGGGCACAAATTCCCTTAGGTTATGTTCGGTTGATCTCCAAGAGTGAGGGACTGAAGGGAATTGAGAAAGAATAATTCCACACCAAAGTAATAAATCCCGTCTAAATCCCACTCAATTCCCTTGGCTAAGGGGCATTCGCTCATTTCTTCTTTTTTTAGAAAGGAAGTATAACTTTCAACGTATGCACCATCTATATAGAAAATACACACAAACATATTTCTTTTACATCAGGATTTGAACTTTGATAATTAGAGTCAGGGGCAGAGCCAGGCCTAGAGCAATAAGGGTTTGAGCCACAGGCTTGGCTCCATAATCGCATTAAAATCCCATATATGATTGTCTAACTAAAATTGGTCAATTCGACCCTAGGATTGTCCCTTGATGAAGTTATACACCCACAACTTCATCATTACATTATGTTTGTTCACTCACTCATTTCTTAGACTTGCTGTATGTTTGAAATGTATAGTTGGTATTCTCTTCCTCCCTAGCTAGTGCTCCCACATGCGCTCAGTGGATGTTCAGTGTCAAAGCACATAATACCCCCATAGAATTTTGGCACACTTAGGAGCTTCTCCCATTCAACAAGTGCATATTAATTATTTTACTGCTTCATTCCTAACACTATTATTTTGGCACACTCAGGAACTTCAGAAAATATTTCTATTCAGTACATATATATCGACAGTGTACATAGGAGACTCGAATTACAAGTTTGACTTCATTACATCCTTCTTGAACAACACAAAAATGCACAAGTAGAATGCATATGTCAAAACCAAACAATCTATAGCTGTGCTTTAAGATCATTGCTATACACATAATACTCTTATTTTGCGCTGAAATCATTATGACTTATTATTCACTCAGTTTGAATATAGCAAATCATTGTTACACTACTTCTTGGCTTGAACCAAATCAAGCGTTGGATCGACGCTTCCTTGTAGATGTAGTACATCCATTCTTAACATTGACGAAAGCTACAACAGACTGCACATACATGGTATGAGGTGGTATTCGTGATTCCCATGTTACTAATTCAAAATCGCCATCTGGAATTGCAGCACATCCAGCTATTAGGTCTCTAAATAACAAACTTGGTTTTTTCCTGTTTGGACTATCATCCCTTTCTACTCGAGGTGGCATCAGATGAAGACGAGTACGATAAGATGATCCAAATCTAGTTATGTCTATTGGATGCTCTTTCTCAATGATATCTTTTGGATGTTCACCATATTTTGACAAGTTACTTTTTACCATCTCCTTGAAGCGCTGCAATACGCTGTTCCATAATTGAAAATCATGGTTCCTTCTAAGCAAGTCAGCAACCACGTTTGCAGTTATCAGTGATCCACCCAAGACAACTGCAAGATCATTTGCAACCATGGCCATCTTAGGATGGTCCTTTTCATCTATGCTTCCAAATGCTAGCATCTTGAAAAGGTAGCTATATTCCTCTTGTGATAAACTGTTTAGACAAACTGTCTTTACTGTTCCAAACCTTGCAAGCTTTCCAATCCGACTTATGATTATCACTTTGCTCCCTCGATCTGTCTTTTGACTTATAGTAGAATAGAACTTTACCCAGTCATCTTCATCTATGTCTGTAAAAAATTCACCTACTATCAAAGTCCTCTCCCTTTTGAAGTTTGTGTGCTCCATTCCCCACATGTTATCTCCATTGATGTACAAAATTGAACGAAAGTAAGATCTGATCCGCTCGTCACCACAGACATGGCTGACTAAAGCTTTCTTTCCTACCCTGCAGCCACCAATGATTGGAAGAACAAGAGGACCACCCTGCTGACAAGGATTTTGCAACAAAATGTTGATAATCTGCTGCTTTTCGGCATGACGACCAAACATAAAATTGTCAGTATAAAGGTAAGCATCGTAGGGCCTGCGACAGACACGTTCGCATCCCACTAACAATACAACAAACTCATTGATATTGGAAATGGCAGCTTCCAAATTGTTTAGCACAATTTCTAATTCATTGTCATCAGCAGGGCTTCTAGGGGTATCAAAAATTGTGCGCGAGCGTTTCAAAGAAACTGACATAGTACAAAACTTTCTCACCTCTTCATCCTTTGGTGATTTGTACTTGATTGTGTCCAGCATGTAGTACCCTCGATACATGCTTTCTGCAAGCATCTTGAGTTGCATTAACATCATAGGGTTTGTGATGCATCGCCCATCTGCTTCCTCGACGACTATGTGGACTCTAAGTAGGAGTTCCTTCAGCCTCTTCATCTTGTCATCTATAGAAGTACTTTCCATGTATTTCTTCATCAGAAATGATGTGAGTCGGTTGATTAGGTCACTTGCAATTGCAGATAAGGCTACCTCCATCTGAATCTATTCACGTGTGTAGCTCTGCAAAGGCTTGTGTGTTTGTGTGCTGCTCTCTAAAGGCTAGTGTGTCTGTGCACATCTCTCTATAAGACATGCTTATTTATCTCCCAAGAATCGCTGCTATATATAGTAGGTTGGAAATGATTGACAGCAAAGACCAGTCAGTATCCATAGGCATTTAGGATGCGTTTGGTTGAAGGATAGGGATGAATGGGATGGAATGATGATGTGATGATCCTAAATACACTTATGCAAGTTATCTGTTTGGTTCGATGTATTAAACAATGTATCAAATTGCTTGGTTAGTTTTATGTACACGTGGGATGATACGACAGTGTTTGGTTGGAGAGATAGGATGCACACTCCATAGGTTCTTGGCACTATATTTTCTTCCATTTTCTTTTTCCCTTTCTTTAATTTTCCTTTCCTTTTCTTTAGCTTTTCCCTCTCTTTTTCTCCCATGAGGCATGCAAAGTGCTTGCTCTGGTGCAGTCATATGCCCATCTTTGATCATGAGCCTCTTGGTCTGTGGGACTGCATACAACCTGAGAGGCATCAACTGAGTGCTATCATGAGCTGTGGATCGAAAGCGAAAATGTTTGAAAAATGTAATCATATCCAGTATTTTAGGATAATATTCCAAAAACACATATTACATCATCCTGAATAATATCATCCTATCCACCAAAATCCCTCCAACCACACACACCTTTAGTTGCATTTTTTTTACTAAAATGAGGGCATAATCAGCCTTTATCTGGTCAATGAAAACCCTATTAGTATTGATTATGGATGAAATCTAGGAAGTTAATATTCTGCACTTACCGATTTTAAATTCTTACTATTCAACATATGTACAATGTTATCACAAGTTTCATATGTTATCTTCATCATGACTACTTAAATTCTGAGAAAGCATTTTTGAGGGAACAAACAGTAGGATTTATTCAGTCAAAAAAAACTTCAGTATTACAGTCTGAATCCAAAACATTAAATAAGACAACCATTGTAGTAATATCCCATCTTGAGAAGGCACAATCCAAAACAGAACATTTTGTTTCGTCCGTCTCACAGAACATTACTCAAATTCTCCTTGATTTTTCCTTTATTAAGCTCTCCTCCTATAGCAACTACTTTCACTCTGCACACTGCATCAAACATGTTCCTTCCTCTTCTTCTGAATATCTAGGATCAGCTTAATGAGGTGGTTGCTACTGAGGAATCACCACAGTACTCATTGGGTGTGATGAAGGTGATGGGTCGATTTGACAATGAAACCATTCTTTGTGTTTACTAATCAATCAATAAATAAATCACCAACTAAATAAACAAATAAAATGAGTCTGCAGGATATTCATAAGTTGGAAGTCCTGAATTTTTTTTCTTGAAAGTTGAATTAGATTTGACTCGAAGTATAGTTTTGAGATTTTATTCTCTGCTAACACATAAAGTTGAGTGGCTTTGCTGGTGAGAAATGGCGATCACCAGCAAGACAGCACTCCTGAGACATGACCTCTGGTTTCTTTGCTACATATCCACAAGATGGGTCATTCTACAAAAAAGAAATATTTATGAGGCAAAAGGACTTTCAAACTTGTTGCAGCATATCTTTTACCTACAGCACCTAAATATTTGGAAATAAACAAATTGACTGTTGTAAATTAATATTGCATCACATAAAATGTTTACGTTTGGAAAATGATGAAGTTACATAACATATTTGCCTAGCGACATGTAGATGACATTTTTTTTATAAAGGAAGCTTTTATTAATCTCAGACGATCCACTCCGAAGATATCTCTACTACTTGCATAGTCGTCCATTCACCTCTCCGTGTGCGGTTCACTTGGACTTACCCACACGTCTCTGGAAAACTTAGTGGAGAAAACCAACATCCTGCTCCCCATGGTGGACAAACCCACCACATACAAAAGTAAAAAAAAAAAAAGAACTAACAGTTCCTCCAGAAAAGCAGCCGATCAAAAAAAAGAACGAACCATAGGCGATGGGATGGCATGGCATGGGTAATTTGGTAGTATCTTAAAAAAAGTTGACCATAAAAAAATTGTAAGCTGGGAGATAGTGAACCATTAGCCTTAAACACAGCCCAGAACAATGGAACAAAGAGACACAAAAATATGCCAACTGTACAGATGAATAGTTTCATTCTACCGTAGCAAGTTTATTAGTCAATAAATTCATCTCCTTCAGTCCTTCGATATCGATGAATATGGAAGAAGCAAATATTATCTGAAGAGCGACCATTTTTGGTTGCAACATCTTCTTCTAAAGGTTTACATGGTCGTTGGGGATTCAGAGCAGTGATAGCTAACAAATTCAGGGATGCCATTGGTTCATGATTTTTACAGAAGCAGAACCGACCATAAGAGGATGTGAATAGAATGTATACCAAAAGAGGATGTGCAAAGTGTGCACAATCATTTAGAATTAACTGTTGGTAACAGGAAATAAACAATTTCACCCTGAATATATACAGTAGATGTGCTGCTGCCACATAGGCCTCTTGAGATTCCAACTGTGATACCTATTGTTGATAGTTGCGGGCTTAGTTGGCCGGAGGACATCAATTTGGAGTGATTGTAATGATTTGATCCCACTGTTATGTTATTTGCTACCAAGATTTTTTTAATACTTGTTTCGAAGCAAATGCTAGCCCATCCGAAAAATGGGCAACCTAATGGTGGTTACATATTCTTTACTGAACATATATAATACTAAATTTAACCCGACCTGAGGGTAACCAAGGTTTAACCTGTGTTCAACGCAACCTATATACTATTCTGAAGGTTCGAACTGGGAAACCAACAACCATAGGACAACACATTTCTGGTCTTGTCCAGGTTGGTGTTGAATAGTCCCACATTGGTTGTGGAAGGGCAAATGACCTAAGATATAAGTGGGGGAGCCCCTCACCTCAATGGCTAGCTTTTGGGGTGGGAAAGGCCCTTTACGATCCTACAATTGGTATCAGAGTCTGGCTAGGTTAACATCTCTGGCCCGATAGACACAGTGTGTGAAGGCCTGATGGACCGTGGGTGCCTGCGGGACCCGTATACCCGATGGACCATGGGCGGTGGGGCCCGGATACGGTGAAGGGGCGGTGAAGGGCTGAGGGACACCAATGTGTGAAGGGGGAGATTGTTGAATAGTCCCACATTGGTTGTGGAAGGGCAAAGGACCTAATATATAAGTAGGGGAGCCCCTCACCTCAATGGCTAGCTTTTGGGGCGGGAAATGCCCTTTACGATCCTACAGTTGGATTGACGGTTCTAGTTGGGTTTGCTTCACCTGTGAATGGCCGTAGTTGGATCCGTGGTCATTGGCTCTCTGTGGCTCTACCTCTCTATCATTTGAGCACGGAAGGGAAAAGAGAGGAAAATCGTACAAATCAGAAAACCAGCTGTGCCCAAACTGTTTTGACCCACAGAAATCTGTCCATAAACAGCCCTATTGGAAAGATTGTTCAGTGAAACATTACTATCCACGCTGAGCATCCATATAGACTTTTTGAAAGGTGATCTCTTAGCAGCGGTTCAATGGTTCTGGAACCTGAACACTTCTAATTTGCAAGATTTGAATTCAGCGCACATCAGTCTCCTCCCTAAAAAGGAGACACCTCCAGCGCTGATCATTATAGACCTATAAGCTTAATGCTTAGCTTTGCAAAAATCATCACCAAGACTCTTGCAAATAAATTGGCACCGAGACTCAAAGTGTGTTTGTCAGGAAAAGAGCTGTTCGCGATAATTCTCTTTGTCCAAAACATGGTAAAATTTTTGCATAGGCACAGAAAACAAATGCCTTTTTGTCAAAGTCAACATTTCAAAAGCTTTTGACTCGGTAAGCTAGCCTTTCTTGTTGGAAGTCCTACAACGTTTTGGCTTCGGAACAAGATTGCACCATTGGGTATCAAATTTGCTTGCCTCCTCTTCAAAGATTCTCTTCAATGGTTCACCAGGAGAGAAAAATAAAACATTGCAGAGGTTTAAGACAAGGTGATCCCTTTTCACCTTTCCTATTTATTCTTGTCATGGAACCGCTGCAAACAATGATTTGTAAAGCTGAAGAATTGCCTATTCTCACGCCAGTGTCAAACAAAATGAGCCGTTTTCGCTGTTCTCTTTATGCTGATGATGTTGCCAGATTTTAATTTCATTTGCCAAAGCATCCAGTCTGCACACCAACAATGAAAAGACCGAAATATTCCCAATAGCTTGTGAGGGTGTGGATGTTCAAGATATAACGCAAGTTCCCCAGGGGTCAATAAAAACTTTCCCCTGCTCCTATTTAGGTTTGCTGCTGCACATGCGCAAACTGAGGAAAGTGGACTCCACTCCCTTGATTGACAAATGTGGTGCACGCTTACCAGGTTGGAAAGGAAAGTTTTTCACTTCAGCAGGCCATGAAACTCTTGTTAAATCACTTCTTACCGGCCTTCCAATAAATCATATGACAGGAATCCAAACACCTAAGTAGTGGGTTATCAAACGCATTGATCGTTTTCGCAGAGCGCTTCTTTGGAAAGGAGACGACCCCAACAATGTCAGCCCAGGATATAGCCTAGTTAATGGAACACAGTTTGCATGCCGAAAAATTTAGGAGGCCTCGGAATTTTAGAGCTTAACAAGTTCTCTCGAGCCATTCATCTTCGCTAGTTTTGGTTCAGTTGGAAGGAGGAAAACAAGCCTTGGTTGGGCTATGTCGACAAGAGTCTTTTCCAAGCTGCTACAGAGATCATGCTAGGAGATGGGAAAAAAAAGGATTGTTTTGGGATAACAACTGGATCTCAAACCAATGCCCAAAACACCTTGCTCCAAGGCTTTTCAGCTTAGCAAAACAAAAAAGAAATACAGTGCATCACGAGCTGACTGGCAATAAATCGATCTTCTCCTTTCAGCAGATTACTACAATTAAGGAGATCCATGAATTGATTTCTCTAGGCACCCTCATTCAGAACGTGCAACTCCTTCCAAGATTGCCAAACGATATCCTTTGGAAATTCTCATCTAACGGGATTTACACCTCAAAAGGTGCATACGTGTTACAATTTTAGGGCATCTTCGTGTTGATGAAAAATCTGCGCTCGGGCGATGGTGTCGGGTCTGTGTTGGCGCGAACGACTTCGGGGCTCACCAAATTTCACTGTTTGCACTTCACCACCACCGATTTTGCGAAAATCTGGTCAGCTCCTACTGAGCCAAAACATCGTTTTCTTGGCTGGCTCATTCTACACCAAAAAACTCCAACCGCGCAAAATCTTCTTCATCGCCACAGGCCCTGCGATTGGATTTGCCCTCTTTGTAGGGAGGCTTTCGAAGGCACTGCTCATATGTTCATAGAATGTTCTTTCACGATCAACGTGTGGAACAAGACTTGTGTTTGGAAGGGTTTAGGTCAAAATACTTTGCCTAACAGATTACATTTAAAATGTTGGTGGAGTTTGCTCTCAGCCATTCTACCAAAACCCCAGCAAAAAGAACTCTAGGGTGCTTGATCACCCCCTGATGGAGCATTTGGTTGGAGCGGAATCAACATATTTTCCAAAATTTATGCACGACGACCGACATGGTGGCTTCCCTAATCCTGCCCTTGATGTTTCTCCTATTATTAATTTTCTATATATTCTTTGCCTTTTTATGTTCTCCTGTACATAACTTTTTTCCTAATATATTAATTCCGGCAGTCTTCCTGCCATCGTCTTCCTCAAAAAAAAAACATATGATTTAATTCTGTTTTTTCTTCTGTTAATCCACTCCATAAATATCTATTAGGTAATACTTATAGAGCTTTTGGAATGTTCAGCATTGTTAGCAGTTTGTTGTTGGCACTTTGGCACATTCTCTTTGTTGGTGCATTGGGGTTTGTGATTTATTTATCTCCTTATTGAATGAATTAACTGCTACAGTCTATTTTGCAGAGACCCCATTTATACTAACAGTTCTCATGTGATGGAGCATCCTTCTGAATTGGGTTAGTGGCGGAGATTTGACAGGTTTAGGGGCACCGAATACACTACCAGGCCACTTGCTGCCACTATGGGGATGCTATGACAATCGATTTCCGTGGCAAGCCAGGAGGACTCTTTCTCATCAATGCCGTCACTATTTTTAGGGGCTAGGGCCACAGTGGTGCATGTGAAGCAGCTGAGCAGGAGGTTCCCAAACGTGACCCCGAAGAAGAAGGAGAAGAAATTCAAGATTTGATTTTTCTTTTCCCATTCTCATATCAAGGTGGGGAAGGCAGGTGACAAAAAATACATCAACTGTAGAGGTGGCAATTTCCAAGGTGTGAGTATCAACTCTCCATTTATCTTGTATGTTTGCATTATGTCAATAATCATTTAATGAGTTAATTATTTGGAACGACATAACGGATTAGCTCATACTAGCCGCCAACCCGGACGTTGCACAAGCTATTACAAGAAATAAAAATATAAAAAAGACCAAATACATTTTATTGCTTAATAATCTAATTGGCATGAGTACAATGGATGTATGAAGAGTAACACAATAATCTACAAGAGATGATTAATACCTAATTACGCAAATATTGGAATAAATTTGATGTTTTAATTGAAATTTACTAGAGTCCGAACAACATAGAACATTACTTATCCAAAACTACAATAATAGTGAATAGCATATCTCATCTGTTGTAAAAAATCATAGAATAGGGCAATACCACTAAAGAGTACTTTTCAGCGTGCTACAATATATCATGCAAGACAGGTAAAAATTATAATCGTTGGTATACCCAATATATAAATACACAACCAGTAAAACATTTACCCCTGGTAGTGTACTGGTTCTATGTGGGATAATAATTGAACAGATTGGACGTGTTATAAACTTATAGTAGTCATATAATCTTGAACCTAATATTTTTTATTTTACGTCATAAAATACATGGGGTTGTACTCAATGGGTGAGAGAAATATATCAATTTGTACTTACAAAAGAGACCTAAGAAATGAGGTTAGGCTAATACGTGAATTTATTGTTTAACATTGCACTGGGAGAAGCCTGTTGGAACTCAACAAATAAAGAAGAGCACTATACGTTGACTAGATATATCCATTTATGACCTTTGTTTTTAAAAGAAACCTTCTTTGATCACTGCTGAGCTCCGTTAACTCTGGTTCTGCAAAAGCACCACATACAGGAATGTACCTCCTCTGGGAAACACAAATAATGGCGATGGTAGGTTCATGGGCATGCATGTTCTAAGACCAAAAGAAAGGGATGAATAAAATGCAGTTAGGTCCAAAAAATCAGCAGGGTTTTTTACTAGGCATTAAAAATTGCCATGATTTGAAGGGCTGCTGTCTGAAAGCGAAGTCCCATTTGTCACGTCTGGCTTGAGATCATCAAGTCCAATCCAAATCGATCACTGATCAGGATGATGGTCTGAATGGAGAGTTTTCAATCGCAGGTGAAGTTCGAGCAGTATTTTTCGTCGCATGTTAAAATTTCAATCTACTCGTGTTCTCCATGTACATTTGCATTGTTGTCAATAGATTGGATAAAAAACAACACGATGGGATACGGTAGCTGTAACGCATAGTAGATGAGATTTAGAAGTGGGATAGAGTAGATTTGTTTAAAGGCGGGCCATAAGAAGCACAAATATATTTAATGATCAACGGTTGTAATGGTACAACATATCCAATCAACGTTCGGATCTTTCTAATTAACATGTGAGCTCCTAGGAAGTGTCCAATTAGTATAGGTAGTACATACATCACATGAGTGAAACTTCAAAAAATATTTCTCTTCATTCTTGACGGTATACTTAAAAGATTGGGCGTAAAAGCTTCTCTTGGATTAGTATTAACATCCTTCTCCAACAATACAAGATCACACAAATAGAATGCATATATTTCAACCAGATACACTACATTTTTGTACAATTTTAACTGCAGTACATATAGAACACTTATTTTGCTCTACAATTTTTGTGTATTATTTTTCCCTCAGTTAGAAAGCAATGCCGAACTTCCATCAACCAAATTAACTACTAGATCGGCGCTTTCTCATAGTTTTGAATCCATTCTTGTCATCGACAAAAGATGTACCAGATGATACATACTTAGTATAAGGTGGTATTCGTGATTTCCATGTTACTATTTCAAAATCACCATTTGGAATTGCCACAGATCCAGCTATTAGATCTCCGAAGAATATAGTTGGCATTCCTATGTTTGGAAGATCGTCCCTTTCTACTCGAGGTGGCATGATATGAAGACGAGTAGGATAAGATGACACAAATCTAGTGGCATCTACTGGCTTCTCTTTCTCAATGATATCTTTTGGATGTTCACCATATTTTGATAAATTATTCTTGACCATCCCCTCGAAGCGTTGCAATATGTGGAGCCAGAAGTGAACATCATGATTCCTTCTAAGCAAGTCAGCAATCACATTTGCTGTTATCAGGGATCCACCAAGGACTACTGCAAGATCATTTGCAACCGATGCCATCTTAGGATCTTCCTTTTCATCAATGCTTCCAAATGCTAACTTCTTGAAAAGATAGTTGTACACCTCTTTTGATAAACTATTTAGACGAACTGCCTTTACTGATCCAAACCTCGCAAGATTTTCAATCCTACTTATGATTACCACGTTACTTCCTCCAGCTGTCATCTGACTTATAGTAGAATAGAAGTTTATCCAGTCATCTTCATCAATGTCCGTAAAATATTCACAAACAATCAAAGACGTCTCCTTTTTTAACTTTGCATACTCTATTCTCCCCATGCTGTCTCCACTGATGTACAAAATAAAAGAAAAGTAAGATCTAATACGCTCGTCGTTGCAGACATGGCTGATCAAAGCTTTCTTTCCTACCCTGCAACCACCGATGATCGGAAGAACGAGAGGAGCACTATGATGACAAGGATTTTGCAACAAAATGTTGATAATCTGCTGCTTCTCGACATGACGAGCAAACATAAAATTATCTGTGTAGAGGTAAGTATCATAGGGCCTGCGACACATGCGTTCACATCCCACTAACATTACAACAAACTCATTCATATTAGAAACAGCAGCTTCCAGATTATTCAGTGCAGTTTCTAATTCATTATCAATAGCTGGGTTTCTAGGTGTACCAAAAATTGTGCGTGAGCGCTTCAAAGAAACTGACACGGTTGATAATCTTCTTACCTCCTCATCATTTGGAGGTTTGTAATTGATTGTGTCCAGCATGTAGTACCCTCGATACATGATCTCTGCAAGCATCTTGAATTGAGTTAGCATCTTAGGGTTTGTGATGCATCGCCCATCTGCTTCCTCGACCACTGCATGGACCCTGAGTAGGAGTTCCTTCATCCTTTTTGTCTTGTCATCTTTCACGGTAGTTACTGTGTATTTCTTGATTAGAAAGGACATGAACCGGCTCATTAGGTCACTTGCAATTGCCGAAATGGCTGCCTCCATGTGAAACTTTGTGTGTTTGTGTGTGGCTCCCAAAGGCTTGCTCCTTCTCCCAATATAACCGCCGTTATATATAGTAAGTTGGATATAGCAGAAAAGTCAGTCATCATTGTCCATAGCTAGTACTTTAGTTGCATTATCCCCACATGCATGCTTACATATAATAACTTATCCTTGTACATCGATGAGTTTTGGCACAATCAGGAGGTGTCGTGCTAATGAAAAAAAGTGAGCTTTTTGACTAGTGGAGGCACGGGCATCCTTGGTCTGGTCGATAAAACCCCATATGGTTGGGGGTGGCTACAATTCTAGGCAGCTAGGGTTTGAGCCTTAGGGTTGTCTCCTAATTATAAATTCCTAGTTAAGATTCTCTCAAAAAATTTTATGAAAACATAAGATGTAGAAGCAAGTTCAACCATACTCTTGGAGATTTATTGGCTCTGCCCATAGATGCCACAACCACGAAAAGTGCTACTGAGACACATACATGGTGTCTAGTCTCTATGCCAGTTGATCACGGCCACATTACTTGTCGATACGATGGTTACTTGGGTCATTTTACCAAAAAAAAGAAATATTCATGAGGGGAAGGGTCTTAATTTGTAACATGTTTTCCTCTTATGTATATTCCATGGCTATATCATCAAGGTCAGCTATACAGGGCCAATAGAAAATGCACGCATGTGCACAGTAGATAGAACACATGATACATAAATCATAAATGTACCAATTGACTGATGTAAATATTATGTCACATAAGATGTTTATGTCAAAAATTTAATCAAGTTACATAAGATATATATTTTCCTAGTTTCATGTAGATGACACAGAAGGGCTGAAACATGGCGGGAGAGTCAACCGGCAATGAATACTATCGCTGTTTACCCTTTGACGTTTTCTTGTTGATTGGACGACTGTATTTATGAGCTAGTACCACACCTAAGTAACAGTACTGACTATCACATATCAACTACAGCTTTAATTATATTTACAATACTATATCTCTAAAATAATTGACTGCAGAAAGACCGTCGGTTGGGAGATAGTGAACCAGTGGCCATAAACACAGCCCATAAGAGAGCAATATATAGAGAGACACACAAACTCATGGATAGTTTCATTTCTATCGAAGCGAGTTTGTCAGTCAATAAATTTGAATCCTTCAGTCCTTTGATATTGATGCAGAGTATATAAGAAGCAACTATTATTTGATTGTCATACTACATATAATTTTACACAGCAAGTAGCACGATTGTTACTTGTTTGCATAGAGGTACAAATTGCATAGAACCGTTATATGGAAATGTTCTATGCAATTTCATGTTTCAGAAAAGAACCTGTTTCACCCTGAACGGGATATCAACAATGTTCCACAGCACCTATAGTAGCCATCTTATCATCGACAATATCATGTTTGGACACCAAGTCAAAAGTTATCAATTCATAAGCATCCGGATTCTAGATTCCAACTCTGATGCCTATCCTTGGTGGTTTGCAGAGTTGGTCAGAGGACATCAATTTGGAGTGATTGTACCGATGACATGATCTGCTCCCACTATTCTGTTATTTGGTACCAAGGTTTTTTCCAGCACTAGCCCATCCGGGAAACCGACAGCCTAATGGTGTTGCAAGTTTTCAACAAACAAAAGTAAGAATTCAAAAGCTGGTTAATGCCGATATCACCTTGGTTTACCAATTCAATTTTTCTAACTAAAGCTTTTGGCATCGCTAATGCGTATCTTTTTATATGCTGTTATATAAAATAGGGATAAGGCCACTAGCTATTCATTTGTTTAGATTTAAACTTTACATCGACTCAACTATTTAGTTTATCTAAAACACATCACTTAACTTCAATACATTAATTCAATGTTCTTATGTTTAGGTTTAAATGTCAAACATTTAACATGAATTTAATTTTTTTCCAGCCAATATACTTGTAACTGGAACCGAGAGGTGAGGTTTGGATATATCACTGTTTGACACTTCAACCTTAGGCCTGCGAAGACCTGCATTTCATTGTTCTAGAAAGCAATTTGAATTCATTTCTCGATCCATACACTGATTGTAAAAGAGATGTTGGAGAATAACTTGTCTTCTTACGAGCAACACGTTCAAGATCACACGGTAAAAGAACCACACTAGCGTGGACAACTGACTTTTGCTTGCCAAATTAACATCACAAAGTCACTACAAATTACGCCACTGACCAGTGACAGAAGTGATGGTTCCAGAGTTGGATTTCCCGTGATGGAATTTGTAGACACAATCAAGTTCCGAGATTATGTCTATAAACTGAGAAGTTTCCCTTAGTGCTATGTCTTCAATTTATGGTGAAGAGAAGCGTCTGTATAGCCCGTTAAGTTCCCAACAATATATGTAAACAATATCTGAAATTCTTTTTGAATAAACAATATTTTTTTCTCATCCCCAATAGGACTTCAACTATTCATCATTGTTTGAGTCTTCTTTTTTAAGATAATGGAAATGTATAACATCCAATAAGTTTTTGAACTAAATAAATAAACATTGTTTGAGTCCATGTATTTCACTTTCATTGAGTAGCTTCGAAAGCCTTGTCTCTGGTGATGCAATGTGTTGTTTGTTTCTATGCTTGTCTCAGTCAAATCTCGTTTCTTGACACAAAATTCCAGGTTGTTCTGCAGAAATAGTACACATGATATTGCATTCATGTTGACTCTTCTGCTACTAGCATAAGAAACAAGCAAAATCAAGCCACTATTTATGGTCTAAAGTACTGCACCATCTGTTTACCTTTCCACGCTGAGCCCAAGAGCATTGGACAAAAAGGGGAAAAAAAATCATGCATAGCCATTCCTTCGTCACTCATCAGTAGTTCCATTCAATCTCAAATTAACTCAAGTTGTTTAAGATGGAAGCTGTTTGCATCAGCTGCAACACCCTGATTTTTTTTTTAAAAAAAAAGGAAAAACTGAATTGGGCCTAGTTAAATTGGGCCAAACCCAACAGTCCACTCCCACCTCAACAAAAAAGAGAGAAGCAAACAATCTGTCCGCCACGACAACGCCCCATCCTCCCCCCATCCCCCGCGAGCAGGTTTATATACAAGAGGGGATGTATTCTTTTACCAAGTCTATATATTTTGTTTCGTTCAGTGGAGCATATGTAACATTCAGTTTTTTTTAAGCTAAAACAGTATGAGAGACTCCTCCTACTACACTATATTAAAAGAAACAGAGTATTAAAAAGTATTTTAAACAACATTTTTTTAATATAATTACTTTTCTCGGAACAAAGTGTGATATTGTCTTGCAACACATTTTGTGTAGATGGCACTATGGCAGTAATACGGTGTTATCCAATCTGAATTGTCCTTTTATAATCATATAAAATTACACTATGAGAAAAGGACAACAAAAATTTTGGCCGAATGTGCCTGTGAATATCTACAGATACCCACACAAAAAAGTGCCCTACTCTTTTCTTAAAGACACTACAATTGCGGTAGAGACGCAATATCAGCTCATTTATAAAAGCACCTCAATTGATAATAGAGAAATAATTTAAATGCCTCATCTCTTATAGAGATGATTTAGTAAAGTGTCTCTGTATACTTGAGAAGGTTCTACGAAGACGCTTCTATGATGCTTTGTAAAGATGACTGTACGCTAACATAGAAAGAAACACCTTAAAACATCTCTAGCCTATAAATAAAGCATCTCCGTAGCTATGTTTTGTTGTAGTCGTCTAGAGGAAGAGTACTATATTGTGTCAAGGAAGGTATTTCAACTACCCAACCCTTTTGAGCATTTCAAGAAATGTACAAGCACACAATTAAGCATAAAGTCACAAGAATATACCAAAAGTAAACATTAGTATATAAGTAGAGAACTTATAAAGTACTCGAGTTGGTATTGGGAAGTACTTCCTTCGTTCCAAAATATAACAACTTCCCAACTAATCACTATAACAACTATTAGTACTCAGAATCTTCTATTCACAACTAATCATAACCCTCCACCATTCACTTTTCCACCATCCAAAACTATGTAGTCAGCCCATTCGCTTCGTGTAAAGGGGTTAACACAAGAGTGATATGGTTAGCGGGACAAGTCCTTATAAGTTGGTTCAAACTAGCAAGGTGGTACTAACACATGCACACAACTCCCATGGACCAAACATGCCTCATTCTAATTGGGCCAGAATGTCACACTACTCAGGGCCGGCCCTGACGGGGGGCGAGCAATGCAGCCGCTCTGGCCCCCCAGATCGTAGGGGCCCCACCCCACCCCCCACGTAGCCTCTATGCTGATAATACCAGATAGAAGTTACAGAACATAGACGATCCCAATTACTTCCTAAGAGGCAAAATTGTCGCCGCACGCCGCGCGCGTCATGACGACTCAAGTCCATCGGAATGACACCGCGTTATACCGGCGGCCGCCATTCGGTCTATCCTATCAATTTTTGTACTAGTTTATTTCCCACCTATCATAATTTGTACTACTTTATTCCCGCAACTATCATATTTTAATTTGTACTATGATGTAGCCTTTTTATAATTTTTTTCTAAAGAAGGGCATAATTCCTTGTACATGTGGATGGAGGTAGTATCATTTTTCTTGCCAGTTTGTACGTTATAACTGGAATGGTAAATTTCACAGAGCAACAACAAGAGGTTTGTTCACAGCGGGAACCCATCTTGAAGACAACATTCATCCTTCCAACTATACATATATTTTTTTATGGGAAACTGTACATATTTCATCGAGCATTGCAATTTATGGCATTTCTTCAGGTAGTGTAAGAAGAATATGCATATCAAAGGCGTTGCACAACTATTTTATTTCATCTATCTTCTATTATATACTAAAAGTCCATTAAACTTTCTACGAACGCTCCTAAACCGCCGTTTGGCATCCTATAAACGCTCCTAGGCCGCCACATGACACTCAAATAAATTAAAGAAAATCATAAAAAACAAAGCATCTGAACTGTTGATTTTCATTAAATTTGGTGGACCCATTATTTGTAACCATTAGATTTATCTTTAAAAAATCGTCTTCTCATATCTGGGCCCACCTGGGCCTCTTGGCATGTACGTACGTACATATGTACGTTTTGCACGTCTATTCCCCCTCTCTTTTTATCTATTTTCACCCTTTTAGAAAAAGCAAAAATTCTATGTTAAACAATTAAGCAAATATAGCATCTAAATTATAAAACTAATATTTTATCCGCTTATGTCTTTTGATTATTTTATATTTATAAAAACTCAAATCCACTTTAATTCAACTTTGAGAAGAAATATGTCACATTAATTAGGGCTACATATCATCCGACTTTTCTGTGTCACTTAAGAAATTATAAAATTATTAAAAATAATGGTATATATTTTATCACCGTACATAACTTGATAAAAAATAATAGATATAATAAAAGTAAATGAACATAACTTTGAGTAATATTTAAAAAATTTGACCCCCATTCTAACACAATAAAAAAGTCAAAATAACATTATTATATTATTAGGTTTGTAGTGTTCTCCTCAAAAAAATGATTTGTACTGTTCATATTTTTAGTATCAACTATGAATATATTGTAGGTATAGACGAGTTAAAAAGATAGATTTTAATCAATCATTAAAACTTTTATTTTATTTTTAGTTAATAAAGTAATAGCAGCTAAAACATTATAACCGATAAGAATTATTACAACTATATGCGTACGTACTCTCCCCTTTGACTCTCTCTTCCTCTCTGTCTCTTATTCAATTCTTTAGTCTTCTGCATTTTAACTGATTAATCAAAATGATTATTAGAAAGCTAAATAATTACAGTTTTAAATTTACTAGAAAAAAATGTCCGTGCGTTGCAATGGGTGAAGGCTGTTTTAATCTTATTATTGAACCAGACCTTAGCACAATTCGGTTTACTTCAAAGACCGGACATGCATTCAGACCGCTTTGAACCGGCCGGTTTTTTGGTGAACTGGATATTAAACCAACCTGCAAATGGGCCATAAATGGGCTGCCTAGAGGCCCATTTGATCTATGCTTGGGGTTAGGCTATCGTTTTTTTCCACAAAAATGGCACGGAGTGGCGTGGGCCATAAATGGGCTGCCTGGAGGACCATTTGATCTATGCTTGGGGTGCGGCTATCTTTTTTTTCCGCAAAAATGTCACGGAGTGGCGCGTTTGGTGGGAATCGAACCCTTATGCTATTGCACACATGTAAACATGTGAACCGCGGTTCAACCGTCCGAGACACCGGTCAGACCGGTGGACCGGTGAACCAGGGGGTCGGCTAGGTCACCCACCTGTCCGGGTTTTTTTACTATGATTGATACATAGTTTAGTTAAGGTAAAATTAAATGTGGGAATTCGCTTGGATATATATATATATATATATATATATATATATATATATATATATATATATATATATATGTGTGTGTGTGTGTGTGTATATATACGTATATATGTGTGTGTATATATATACGTATATATGTGTGTGTGTATATATACGGATATATGTGTGTGTATATATATACGTATATATATATGTGTATATATATACGTATATATATATGTATATATATATATACGTATATATATATGTATATATATATATCAACAAACAAAAGTTAAACAAAAGGTGAAAAAAAGCATGCGATGGAGCCGGTTGTATCAGCCGTTGTAGGTGACTTTGTTTATCGATTCATATATATATAGAAAATCATGAGCTGCAGTTAGGAGTTCGTTCGTCTCAAGTTAGCAATGTAAAATTCACTATGGGAATTCGCTTGGATATATACATTTTTAGAAAATCATCAGCTGCAGGAGTTCGTTCATTCCAAGTTAGCATGGGACTTTAAAGAGATTTATTATATGACTACTTCTGTATTTCTAAATACAAATGAACTTAAAAAAACCGACTCAAATGCGGACATGTATTTCCAAAAGCGAATGAATTTAAAAACTGACTTATGTACGGATGACGTACCACAGTATCGGCAAAAACATCTTCAATATTTATAATAGTAGAGATATCACTTATAGTTTACTTGAATTTGTTTTATTTATAATTAAATATATAATTCAAGATCTATATTACCCATATTTTACATTATTAAAATAAAAATCTGTCATTTGAGCATATACACCAATCCTTTACAAGTAACTAAATACTCCCTCCATCCAAAAAAAAAAGGCAACCTAGGTGGTGTCAAATCCCCACCTAGGTTGCCTTTTTTTTTGTACGGAGGGAGTAGGAGACATAATAGAACAATATAAAATATAATAATAAGTATTATATCTCCTTAAATCAGTGTGTATCCTCTGTAATGCACTTAAGTCTTCATGTGGTTACATCTCAAATAAAAATAAAAATTAGAAATTATAGGAAATAGCATCTAACCATCAGTTTCCACTTAAATAGGTGGATCCATTATTTTAAAATAATTGATATACTTTTAGAACAATCCTAACCCGCCATGTATTACGTCTTAAAAATTAGAAGAGAAGGATATTAGAAATTCTGAGAAATAAACGGATCATCGGTTTCACTTCAATCATTTATAAAAACAGAAAAAGATAACACCCCTCCACTTCGCGCTCCTCCACACATCCGGACAACATGGCACTACACATCCCCTCCCCTCTTGGCTTGAGTTCTCCACTATACCCTCCCTGTTTTTATAGTGAGAAATAATAAAAGATACTATAAAATGCATTTAAAAAATAAAAAGTATATATAAGTTGTACTTTAACTTATAAGAAACTTTTCATTTTTGTCATATGATAACCTTTATATATCACTGAAACTGTTATATTAAAAACTTATATTGCAAGTAACATTTAAAACATTATTCCCTTCATTATTTTAAGTCATAATCTAATCTTTTGCTATGCCATCCCAACAATAAGAAAAATTATGAAGGAAATGGATAATGTGGGTCATATCATCACTATCACTCGAAAACATACATAATTAGATTAGATCTACAAAATAAAATACTCTAATTGTTATTAGCATTCGCCCAAAAATATTACCGTCATTCTAAAATATAACTATGTTTGGTATTAATTGGATCTATCAAGACAAATATTTTGATACAATTATATATTCAATAATTAAAGTTAATACATTATAAAAATAAAGGATCAAATGTGTCCTTAAAAACCATGTCGATTATCTTAAGAAGAATATGGGGCATACATGCCGACCTTTTCCTCTACAATCATTAGAGCTTAAACATAATTAATATTAGTATAAAGTATATAACATCCAGCGTACTTGACCCATATAGACCCATATAGGGCCTACCTTATGTATCAATTATATTTCACAATCAAATCTACGTATCAATTATACTTATAAACTATTATTCACCAATCGCTGAGTTAAGATTATTGGCAAGGTGATTGTTTAAGAAATTTACTATCCGAGATCGGATGAACACCTATGCTATCAAGCTGAAAAGAAGAACGGAAACTGCCAATATTCATTATATGACATATTACCTTATAGCAGTTAATAAACACAAATAACTAAATTAGTTGTACAATCTCATGAAATAAAATAAGAATTGCATCCTCACGACTTTCTTTAAATAAAAAAAGCATAAGTATAAAACAACATGAAAAATAAGAAATGGAAAAACGTCAATATAAGAATACGATATTCCAAAAAACTTGACTATATGCACTATGTCATATTAAATCAGTCTACATAACAAAAATTGATTAAACATCCATATAGCACATTCAAGTGACCATGTATCACGTCTTAAAAATTAGAAAATAATTCAACTTAACTCGATGGATTCATTATTTTCATCAATTAGATATATTTTAAAAAACCATAAGTCGAGACATCTCATGTCTTAAAAACTATAAAAATAACAAAATAAATTCTAAGATAAAACAAAACATCTTATAATACATGCAAACATCACTGCCCTCCCCTTCCTTATTTTTTTAGCTATTAAAATAGAAGAGAAACAATAAATGTTGAAACAGCTATAATTTTTCATAAGCTACACGTCTGGTTACTTATATCTTTCGGTTAATATTTCACCTTTATAAGTTTCTCAAACACAATCTATGACGCATGCCCACGCGAATGCGTGGGCTACCTTCCTAGTTATATAAAAGAATATATCTGCCCAGTGCACAAATAAAAGGATTCTTGTAGTGCTAGAACAAAATTACACAGAAGTATTCTCTTTGTTTCCTAGATAATGTAATATAGCCTTGTCTCTACATTAAATTGTTGTCAACAAAAGGACATATTTACTTTTGATACTTGATAAACACCTTATTTCGTTCGCTAAGTTGTGTTACAATTTCACATAGTTCAATTTAGGATAAACCAATTAAGTTAGATAATATGGTAAAATGAATCACAACTGAGGTTATAACTTTGAAAAAGGAACTACAGACTCTAGTCAACATTTGTGGTTAAAGTTGAAATGGTCTGACTTGCCCCATTTTAGCTGTGACTTTCTTTTGACCAAGACATACTTTTTGACAATGAAAGTGGAGGAATATGACTTCAGAGGTCAGAAAAGACAGAACACTAAAAATGGTGTTCTTGAAATTACATGTTTCACAACCAAAAGAATCCATGAGCAGTGAGAGAGAGAGAGAGAGAGAGAGAGAGAGAGAGAGAGAGAGTATAAGAATCCCTACCTGCAAGCCAGCTACCATCTTCTGACATATAAATCGTCATATTATGAGATGGAGCTCATCAAATCAGCTATAACAGGTGATCTAACTAGTCGATTAATCTCCTTTCTTGTGAACAAGTTTTCAGATCATACATGCTCTGAGGAGAAGGTAACAAGACTGGAGCAACTCCTTCTAAGAGTTCACATGGTTGTCGAGGAGGCAGATGGGCGATACATCACCAATTCATGTATGCTAGTGCATCTGAAGATGGTAGTCACAGCCATGTACAGTGGCTATCGTGTGCTGGACACCATCAAATACATGAAGAATAAGGAGGACACCGGTGACCTGGTAAATGACTGTCACGCCCGGAAATTCACTAGTAATTTCCGAACTTATTTGTGCATAAAATCCTCGTCCAGAAATCAGCCGAGGTACACAAACTGACAATTTAATATACAGATTCATCAAATTAACTAAAACGATAAATACTTACTTATGAGGCACTTAGTCCTCATCATGAAGAAAACTGCAGCGGAGAATAAAATCTAGCGAAGCTCCGGCTCCACTCCCACAGGCAGCTCAACTGGGGTATAAGCCAAACGTCTTCTCCTTCTGAATCCTTTTTCTTCAACTGAGGTTGATTGATTATTGCAAGGTGAGCATATGACATACTCAGCAAGCCACACAGCAAATATGCAAGTGCACAAGGATACCAAAGGATGGCATAATATTGGCTCATTTGCAAAAGCAGCATTTAGCAAAACATTTAAGAGAAGTAAAACAATGGAGTAATTAATCAGAAATTTTAATCAGCACTGAACAGCACACCCATGCTGCACAGGCCCAACCATCCTGAACAACCATACCCGGCTGTACAGATCTAATCTCCAAACCAGGAGCTAAGCAAATTATTACCAGGTATAACATCTATAATTATTGTGAGAGGTGTGGGACTAATCACGAAAAACATTGCTCAACTCGCCCATAACCGCGGGCACGGCTATTCGAATAGTTTTACTCTGGCCAGAGGTGTACCACTGTACCCACAAGACACAGCCTCAACATCATGTCTACCATGCGTCGCGATACTGGAAAGTACCCGAATAGAGGCTGTGACAATACCCTCTGCATAACACAACTCACCACAGTGCACCATTCCTGGATCATAATCACCCCCTTATAAAACAAGGCATGGACTCCCCAGCGACCCCCGTGGGCTTATCTCCGCCACTTCTCAGTCTGGTGCTCCACAATGAATCATGTTATACAAAAGGTAAAGCCGTTGCCCACGCTGGCTTGTGGTTGGCACGGTTAATGTTTCACAATAGTAGCTCGCGAACCGGTCCTTAATTGTCATGAGCACGACTCTCAAAACCATGTGCTCACAACCCACCATTATCAAGTTTTAGTTGGCAAGTAATTAATTAACCAATCACGATTGACCATCGTGAACTATCATTAAGCCATCATTAAATAATAATGAGTCATAAATTATCCCAATAGTGTGCTAATGTTTCTAAGCATGGCTAAGCAATTATATCTAATATCTAGTTGAACCAATATATATAAAGCTCAACTAGTCCAATTATAATAACCCAAGGTATCAAGGAATAGAATAATCAATGCAAATTGGCCATAACAAAAGAATAAGTTCACACCACCCGGTGACATTCGAAAATAAATGCACAGTTGAAATAAATAGAGAATTTAAATATAGGAACAACATGCTCAAAGGATTGTGTTTAGGATCTGTGTGACTTGCCTTGCAATAATCGGTCTTCAATTAATCTTCTTGAATACTTCCAGCGCACTCGCGAACCTTCGCAACGACGGAAACGACTAGCTAACACGCAAAACGAAGAAAAAGACTAATAAAAACCAAATAAACAATACATAAAAAATAAACAAACATGTAGATCATAATTTTAGATGAATTATGAGACTTGAACGGCCTCATTCTGACTTCAAATGAATTTATTATGAATTTTACAAGATTAAATCTAATTAAAGCCCATTTAAAAAGAATTAAATAAATTTAATTCAATTTATGGACAATTTTAATATGTAGATCTTTATTTTATACAACTTTTGCAACTTGAACCACATTAAACTGAGTTACAAATGAATTAGTTATGAATTTTTGAAGATTAAATCGGATTAAAACACTTATATTGATTTTAATTGAATTATGACGCAATAATGAATTATTTTTGAAAAGGAAAAGAAGGATTATTGCGTCAGCGGCTAGGGTTTGCGGTGGACCGGGTGCACGGCAGCGGTTCACGGAAACGAACGGCCGAGATCAACCCTATCCAAAACGGACGGCCGAGATCGATCGGTCCACGACCGGTCTACGACGAACGGTCCCGATGACGTCAACGACGACGTCAGCACCGGCGGCGGCTCGGGCGGCGCAAGCTCGCCGGCGAACGACGGCGCGGCGGCGCAAACGGAGAGCACCAGGACGTAGAGCGCGGCGCGGCGAATTCACCGATGACCAAAACAACGGCGGAAGGGCAACAGACGGCGCCGGCGACGAGGAAGAAACGGCGGCAGAGATCGGGTCGACGGCGGCGACGGCGCTCCGGCGGTCTTCGGCGGTGGCGAAGCGGTGGACGGGGACGGCGGCGACTTGGCGATCCCGACGGTGGCGACGGCGACCGACGACGGCGGCTGCAACGGCGGCGCGGCGCGGCTGAACCGACGGCAACGACAGCGGCGACTAGGGCTACGCGGAGGCGGCGCTAGACACGACGGCAGGCTAAGGCAAAGGTGGCGGCGGATAGAGGAGAGCTCGGGGTCCTTTTAAAGGGGCAAGGAGGCGGCGGCGACGGCCCACGACGGCCGGCGACGGCGAAGGAAACTTCGGGAAGAACGAATCCGAAACAAACTCAAATCCATCGATTTCCAAACCGAAGTAGAGGATGATTCCAAAAGAGAAAAGGTAGAGGAGATCCCGGAGATTGTTTCCCCTCTATTGATTCGGCCGGAGAAGGAAAGGATCGACCGAATTTTGTAAGGAGACGGCAGCGGCGCTCGGTTAGGGTTTCGGGCGGTGGCGGCGCGAGGAGGAAGACAGGCCTGACAGACGGGTCCCACCTGCCAGCGGCTGAGAGAGAGAGGAGAGCGGCGGCTCGGCGGATTGGGCCGGACTGGGCCAAGGGAAAGAGGGAGAGAGGGTTTTGGGCCGGCTTTCGGCCCAAAGCCAAAAGAAGACTTTTAAAAACCTTTTCAATTTAAATTATTTCTTAAATGCAATTCCATTTATTAAAAATACTTCCTTAGCTCAAATAAATCCCAGAAAAATCTAGGAATTATAGAATTAAGCAAAGTATTTAATGAAATTTTATCTAGCCCAATTTTATGTTGAGATTTAGCAAATTAAAATTAAATCTTCTCTTCTAGGCTTTTAAAATCATTTCTAATAATTCCTTTTAAACAACAATTTATAATTTAAGGATTTTAAACAAGAAAAGCACTTAACAAATATAATTAGATCATTAATGATCAAATAATTACTGAACTGTTCTTTGTATCATTTAGGAATTGAGCTCCGAAAAATCCGAGAAAATTTCAGAGAGTTGACTTAATCATGGAGAATTTAATAAAAATTAAATCCATCCATGCTTTATATTTAGGAAATTTTATTTCCCACATTTAACTTCACTTGTAAATTAAAGAACATTTAACATAAATTCAATTATTAATTTATTAAATTATTTATAAATCCTGAAACAAAAATCAGGATGTGACAATGACTCAGCTGCCTTATCTTTTGCTACTCCTCTCAAACGTTCTCGCACTACTGTCTGTACTGCAAGAAAAAGGATATTCAGTAGTGAGTTACAATGTGCACTAGAAAAACTAGAATCTGTAGTTGGTGATATGAATGAGTTTGTCATCCTTTTGGCTGGATGCGAGCGCATTTCCCAAAAGCCCTACGATACATATATTTACATCGACAATTTCATGTTCGGTCGACACGTGGAAAAGCAACATCTCATCAACTTCTTACTGGAAAACAATATTGCTGGTCCTCCACCTGTACTACCGATTATTGGAGGTCGTGGAGTTGGGAAGAGAACACTTGTCACGCATGTATGCAATGATGAGAGGGTTAGCTCTCAGTTCAATTTTATTTTGCACATCAATGGAGCAAACCTTGGGCAAATTACAGAAAATGGAAATCTTTCAGCGAGGACACTTGTAATTGAGTTTTTTTCAGATGTAGATGACAATGATTGGAAAAAATTTTATTCACATGTTACAAACCTGAGCAGAGAAAATAAAGTGATAATCTTGACTACAATTGAAAAACTGGAGAGATTTGGAACTGTCAAGCCAATGACTCTAAATAGGCTGGTATATGAAGAGTACAGGTACCTATTCAAGACACTCGCATTTGGAAGCACAGACCCAGTAGACCATCCACAACTCATTCCAATTGTGGAAGAATTCGCAGAGCTATTGGAAGGAAGGCTTATCCCAGCCAACATACTTGCAGATGTATTGAGAAAGAATTTGAATGTTCATTTCTGGCTTTGCAAACTGAGACAGGTCCAAATTACAGCCAAGAAGAACATGACCATGTCTGGCGCCCATCCACACAAACTTTTTGATCAAGGTCATCCAGCACATTTCACGGGCTACATATTGTCTCCTCCAACTATTATCACACCAAATGTTCCCCAAAATGATTTGCCACAGTTGAGATTTGGTGACTTGCTAACAGGCCATATTTTTCCACCGAACGGTGATTTTAAGTTAATTTCATGGGAGTCGAGGATACCGCCATACACTTCATTTGTTCACACGGCTCGCTTCTGTCTAAGTCTTTCTCAAGATCAACCTGAATCACCTTTGTCAGGGAGGAAGCATCGAAGGCCATTTTCCTAGTCTTGTGATGAACTCAGGAAAAAAAATTGTGTGTGGTTCAAGATTTTCTCTCCTTATAGTAGCAAAATGAGATCTCATTCTCAAAATGGATTCTATTCTACTTCGTGGTAGTAAAATCATGTAACTTTATCTACTTTGGCATAGGTGCGAAAAAATGTCTCACTAACTCTAGTACTGTGTAATATAAACAATTCCATACATACTGATTACAGTTACGCTTTGTGTGGTATGATTTCTTAAATTTATAACCTAAACAAGTAAACAACTATGGAGCTGAGATATTCATGTAAAAAAAGAGGTGCCCCCTTGCATTCTCCCTGCCCGTGTAGATCTGCCAGCTCAGTGTGGCTGCTCCAGCGCCTCCGGCAAGCAAATCGGCATCAATACTATATAGTATGAGGAATTTTATAGTCTTTGAGAAATTACTTTAAGGATCTAAATTTTACACTAAAATTTTTGGTACCTTAAGGTACTTAGTACTTAAAGATACCAAATTTTACACCAGAAAATATAGTACCTTCTCAACTGATGAGTATGTTAGGTCCCGATCTTCCGATAGGTATTGATCAACAGTCGATTTGGGCGGAGTCGTGACACAACTCGATCCGGCTTCTGAACGAACACGCTACTGAGCCGAAACTCGGTTGACCTCACTGAGAAGGCTAATCCCTGCATGCGAATCGAAGAACACAAGCAAGAATAAGATAGATTGCAACACAATTGCATATGAATGATTAAGCACTTGAATTTGAAGTTCCACAAACCGATCTAGCAGTGAAACTATTCTTGACAGATTAATCTAAGCAAAACCAGACTTTGACCGCGTGATAGGTGTCCTTTCCTCCATACTCAAGAAGAGTTACATCTAAGTTCCGATCGTGATATGACAAACAAATCTTACTTTTTCTTTCCCAAGCTGGCGCATAACCTCTGGTCCCGCTCCCTTCCGTCCATCAGAGATTTATTCAAAACCTAAAATCGAGTTGAGTTGAATGGGGTTCAAGTCAACTAGATGAAAGGTTTCTTTGTAGTGAGGGAACGAGTTACTGAACACAGTGAAATATCACGTTTTATCATGTCATGCACATGTGTCTTTCCCTCGATCCCGAACCTTGACTGGATGTATAGGTACACGGTATGCCGATGACAGTTATCGAAGCTGCCATAGTTCCGGCAACTACGAAAGCTGCAAAAAAAAAACAGCAGCGATAGTACTGGAAAGTACAGTTTCAATATTGCCACGATAACGTCCTTAGGGTGCACACCCACTTGGGCTAAGCCCGCGACACACCAACTATAAGGATCAAAACCCAAATCAGATTCGGACTGGATGAGGTACGTGGCTTGTTTGCCTGATTCCCCCAGCTCGGTAGGAATTTTAACGTGGGACCAAAACCATCTCAAGGTAGACTCCATAAGCTTTACAACAAGTACTGATGGGCTCCGAAATCTCTTCCAGATCAGCAGCTAGGTCCGTTTGAAGTTGATGCTGTCAGGAGACCTGAATCTGAATCCAAAACGTGTAGAACTTTATCTATTGTTTTCTATAGACCGAAAGTGACGTGGTGAGGTAGAAGTAGACTTAGAGAAGGTCTTGGTTTGGTCCCCAATCAACTTCTTTAATCATCCATGCATTCCTTATGCTTGGTCTCTTTTCTTTCGCCCAAGCAAGTACCTCTGCAAATGAAAACACACGAAACTCATTGTGTAGCAACGTTTGTTCAAATATATAACAAGTAAATCTAATATAGAACATATGCACGTTTGGTTGATTAATATATAAGGTGGTCATGGCTATATCTGAGCTAGTTGTGTCCTAATCATCAACGATGGTAAAATTACCCATATATTATATATACATGTTGTACTTATCCATCTTCTGAACACAATCTCATCTAGTCATCTCACCTCACCTCTTCCTATCAGTAGGTACAGCTACACACTCCTAGAACTTGGATGCACAATTTGTCTTGTTAGAGTTTGTGTCGAATATGTGTACAGAGTCGGTTACAGTTTAGGACTTGGAGTTTGTTGTCGAAATGACAATAGCTTCACGTCGAAGGACGTGGTTCTCTAAGTGGGATGGTTGAATAGTAAAACAATGTATTAATTGATGAAAATTTTCGGGGATCCCCCATTACATGCCCCTAGGGGGCTATTTATAATCTTAGTACACACTCATGACCTCTAGGGTTTAATGTGTACAGTGGAATTTACATGGATACCCTTATGGTAGAGACTTTAGTGGGGGTATATAATGTCTATTCTAACCGTACGCCCCTTGATGGGCTTCTGTCCCGGCCCACATGTGGTGAACAACCTTCCTAGGCCATGACGCTCATATGGGCCTCTCGGCTGAGGCGATCCTCCCTCGGGCGAACCCTTCCAGCTTCGCCCTGATCCTTCGCCCGGAGGAGAGACTTGAAGATGAGTCCTCTATGTTAGGTGGTGAACCCTCCTGACTTCGTCCTTCAACTTCGCCCGGGTGCTTCGCCCAACTACTTTGCCAGAAGGCGAACCCCTTGGGCTTCGGTCGACGTCTTGCAGATTCGGTGGCTTTGGCGGTTTCGGCAGGTTCGGTTGAAGGCCCTCATGACATGCCTCCAACAGAGTTATACTAGGTGTTAGTAGTAGAATAAGAGTCAGACCCTATCCTAGAATCTCTCTTAAATAGAGGGACGGATCTGTTGTAACCGAATGGCGACTAGCATAGTGAAAAGTAGCGGCTGTCGGCGGCGTCTGGCCGAGGGTCGTTGTAACTCTGATACACTGTAATATGCTGGATCAGGGAGGAGCGCCCGTAATCGATGCTCCGGGGATGTAGGCTTCGGCTGAACCTCATTAACAAATATCGTGCCTCGATGTCGTCATCGTGTTTGGATCTCATATGGCGTTTCTTCCGCATTTGGTTTTCGATATAATTTCGGGGCTGGTTTTATAACATGTCTCACATTTACAATTGTATTATCAGATTAGCTCATAAAGTTGGAGAATTGAGCAACTTGGGTCTTAGCTTTCACGTGTGCGTTCAAGAGATTGTTCCAATATGAAATTTCAGTTCTAAGGCACTTGTATTATCACACCCTTTGCTTGCTTGGAGGCAGCGGCCGGTAGGAATCAAGGTGAGCAGAGGGCCAGAAATGGCGGATGCCCATCGCTGACTTCTCAACAGACAACAGGGAGGAAGTATATTTCTTCTCCCCAATTTTTTTTTCTTCTGTTTAGACTGGGAGCTTTGGCCAACTCGTTTGTGTGTGTTCTGCAAATTTAGAAATTATGGTCAGATATTCCTACTACTGGTAGTGCACATATCAATTCGAATTATAAAAAGTGAAGATCTGAAATCTTCAAGCCGTCATACCGATTATGTCATAACAATTCTCGTTACAATCAAATAAGGTTTATTTCCTTAAAAAAACAATTAAATAAGGTTTGGCCTTCAACTTTGTCAACCCTATGTTAACGTTTAGTTGGGAGTTTTAGTTTTGCTGGTCCTCTTTGTTTCTATTTCGGCTTTTTGGCCGCATCATATCAAGATTGGATTTCTGACTGAATTACTTACACTATTCACCCTACAAATGAGATGATCCATCAGGTGAAATTGTCAAGTGGGTGTATTTGGTGTCAGTTAATCCCCTAGTTTTCAGATTAAGCCGTCTTTTTTTAAAAGAAATTACTGTTTACTCCAGTGCTCAGCCAGACCTCATTTTAATTTAGTTCGTCCTCCACTGCTGACCTTTGAGTAGTATTTGATCTTTAATTTTTTTGAGCTAAACAACTATAAAGCTGAGATATTTCACAGAGCCACATAATTCGTGGCTCGTAGATTAAGTTGTATATCAGTCCATAAAAATTCCTTTTTGAGCTATGCATGCAAGTATGCAACACGACTAAAAATAGTATCGAATATGTATAAGAAAAATAAGTATGTCCATCATGAGCATGCCATGTTTATGCCCTTTGCCCTGCTGCATCTAGTAGCAGTTGTCATGCCTCTCTGTTAGGATACCTTTGATGCTTTTAAAATGTTGCTGGTTTGACTTGAGCATCACAAGTAGAGAAGTCAATAATATTGACGGACCTGACAAATTAGATCAAAACCAATTTTCATCGAGTCCGAGTTTTTATCCACCTTCTAAAAAAATATACCAGCTATATTTGATCTCTTTTCTCTGCTTGGAGTATTTAGAAATGGAATTTGCCACATGAGCTGATTCATCTCCTAGCTTCCTCCTTACCAAGTACTATAAAGCCATGAAATGTGTGCGTACACACACCAACACACGCACTACGATTCTAGTGATGCTGAAGTACTTCTGTTTTTGTTTCAGAATAATAGCATTGAGTTATTGTGAACAAAATTAAGTAACATATTTAAACTTGGTATTGAATAATATGCAATTTTGTATGCTAAAATATGTTATAATTTTGTTTAAGTCAGATCATTTTATTGGTAAGTCCTAAGAACTTCTAGTTTTCAAAAAAGAAGTGCAGGCTCTAGTTAACTTCTTTGGTCAGAGTTGAAATGGTCGTACTACTAGCTAGTCCAACTTAAGGTGTCACATCATTTAAACGTGAGGGTGAGGATGCTTAGGGGGTGTTTAGTTTTAGGGGTGTAAAGTTTTAGCGTGTTACATCGGGTATTATATAGGGTGTCGTATAGGGTGTTCGGGCACTAATAAAAAATTAATTATAGAATCCGTCAGTAAACAGCGAGACGAATTTACTAAGCCTAATTAATCCGTCATTAGCAAATGTTTACTATATATAGCACTACATTGTCAAATCAGGAGCAATTAGGCTTAAAAGATTCGTCTCGCAAATTAGTCGCAATCAGTGCAATTAGTTATTATTTTAGCCTATATTTAATTCTTCATGCATGTGTTCAAACGTTCGATGTGACATGATGTAAAATTTGTGTGTTTGAACTAAACAGGCCTTAGATAGCAATATTGAAAGTGGAGAAGTGTGACTTCTCGTTTGGTCTGTAGTGACCAAAAACCATGACTTCAAGTTAGAAAGAGATGAGAAAGTGAGCAAGAACACCTCCAGTGCACAACCTGCGAGCTACCTACCTCTCCCACAAAGAGTGCATCATACACTGAGATGGAGCTCATCATATCATCTATCACAGGTGATCTAACCAGTCGATTTATCTCCTTTCTGATCAACAAGTTTTTATATAATCTGTTCTCCGAGGAAAAGGTGAAAAGGCTAGAGCAACTCCTTCGAAGAGTTCACATGGTCGTCGAGGAGGCAGATGGGCGATACATCACCAACCGTTGTATGCTCGCACAACTGAAGACGATAGTCGCAGCCATGTACAGTGGCTACCATGTGCTGGATGCTATCAAGTACATGAAGAACAACGAAGGTGCGAATGATCTGGTAAATGACTCATCTTCCTTGTTTTTTTGCCACTCCTCTCAAAAGATCTCGCACTACTACTGTTTGTCCGGAAACAAAGAAGAAATTCAGTATGGAGCTACAAGGTGCACTGCAAAACATAGAGACTGTAATTGGTGATATCAATGAGTTTGTAATCCTTCTGGCTAGATGTGAGCGCATGTCCCATAGGCCCTATGATGCCTATCTTTACATCGACAATTTCATGTTTGGTCGACATGTGGAAAAGCACCATCTGATCAACTTCTTACTGGAAAACAACATTCTTGGTCCTCCAGCTGTAATACCGGTTATCGGTGGTCATAAAGTAGGGAAGAGGACACTTGTAACGCATGTATGCAACGATGAGAGAATTCGCTCTCATTTCCCTCTTATTTTTCACATCAGTGGAGCGAACCTTTCAAGAATTACAGAAAATGGAAATCTATCTGCAAGGACATTGATAATTGTGGAGTTCATTTCAGATGTAGATGACAATGACTGGATAACGTTTTATTCATCTATGGCAAACCTTAACAGAGGAAACAAAGTGATAATCTTAACTAAAATACAAAAATTGGAGAGGTTCGGAACTGTCAAGCCCATTACCGTAGATAGACTGGTGTATGAGGAGTACAGATACCTATTCAAGACACTAGCTTTTGGAAGCGCGAACCCGATGGACCATCCACAACTTGTCCCAATAGTTGAAGAATTTGCAATGCTATTGCGAGGCAGGCTCATCCAAGCCAACATACTTGCAGATGTATTGAGAAAGAATTTGAATGTTCATTTCTGGCTTTTTGCATTGAAAGGGGTCCAAATTACAGTCAAGAAGTATTTGTCCATGTATGGTACCCATCCGCATGAGCTTTTTGATCAAGGCCATCCAGTACATTTGACAGACTATGTATTATATCCTGCAGATACTACAGAAAATGCCCCAAACAATGATTTACCTAAGTTGACATTTGGCGACTTGATAACAGGCCGCATTTTTCCACCAAAGGGCAATTTTAATCTAGTTTCATGGGAGTCCAGAATACCACCATACACTTCATTTGTTCACATGGCTCGCTTTTCTCCAAGTCTTGCGGAAGATAAACCGGAATCACACCTGTCAGGGAGGAAACGTCCAAGGTCAGTTTCCTAGTCTTAAGATCAGTGAAAATTCCTTGTGTATGATTCTAGACTTTTTATTATTCTATCCCATTCATGCACTTGGGCACATACGGGGTAAAGTAACAGTTAGATTTTGTTATTCTTTTTCCATAACTTGGTTCATATAACACGAAGCCTAAGCTTTTACAGTTGAGTAAATTGAATAGTTTTATAAGTTAAGAGTGAATAGTGTATGGTATCAGAATCGAGGGATTTTTTGGGACACTCACTACAGTTGTAAGGGTAATATGGACTTACTAATCCCGTCAAGAAAATATATAGAGTTGCTAAAATATAACAAAGTCTGGTGACTGGTGCTTTACATTACAATGTCTCTAAACATGATATTATCAGAAAATTGCTCAATAACTAATCAGATTTAATTTACCTGGAAGCGAACCAACCTAGATAAATACAAATCTGTTGCTGCTTCTATGGTCCACTTTTAATTTTACCAATGCCGCAAAACTTGTAGCACAAAATAAAGGTAAATTCTAACTGCTCACCCTTTTAAGTGCGGAAAAGGCTATACGTACTAACTTTTTCTTACTAAATTCTTACTAACACTGATGTGTCATGCTATGAGTGCATCTAGATTTTTTTAACTTTCATCTACTTAAATCAAACGGTTGATATGATTGTTAGTAAAAGTTTAGTAAGAAAAATTTAGTACGTGTAGCATTGCTCTTTAAGTGCACATCTTTGTATTCGTTTCATGAAGAAAACAAACTGAGTTCAAATATTAACCAAATTTCATTTGTTGTCTACATTTTAGGGAAGATTGGTCCAAGGTGCAACCACAAAACCCATTTGCATATTTTTCTCAAAATCAAGCTACTGGCTCAAGGAAGACTAAATAATCAAGAAATCCATCACGATGGAAAAATTTCAAGTTTAGTTGGATCTTAGCATGGTACTCAGTACTCACGGGTCATCACTAATGCCCTCGCCTTCCTGGGCTGATAAAAAAAGGCAGCCGCCCCACTGCACAACACTCTGTCGTGATGAACAGCAAGTCCTTAGCTAGGACGAAACGAACTACAGCAAAATGGATTATAAAAACGTCTATTATCTGAAGAAAGACGCGTTTTCTACTCTTCTCAATTTTCAGAACCACCTCATCATGAACAAAGACGTCTTTTGAGACGTTGTGAATAACGTGCTGTGTACATTTACACATATTTTCTTTCTTTCTTTAAATTTTGTTTGGAAAGAAAATCCTGAAAAACACTCGCTCCCCACGATCTGAATAGTGTTCTTTGTTCAGATCGTGGGAAGCCCTTGCCAGCGCGGGGATAATCGTGATCATTCCCGAGCTGGCCACCACGCGCCGGATCAAGCCACCGCTGCTGGCTCTCGTCCTGGCCTCCTGGGCTGCCAGTAGCTAGTCCTCATGCAGCTGGCCTTCGCTCTTCCCTATGTACAATCTTGCTAAATGCAGTTTCTAAATGCAAACAGTACAGGTAACTAACAGCATGCATGCGTTTAATTCACTACATATATCCAGGGCAAGGTTTGAGCGGCCCGGGACGAAGCTAAGAACGGAGGCCTTAATATAAACATTTAAATATAATATTTTACATATATTTTTTCTTAAAGTCTTTATCCATTGTACTCATCTACCTGTTTCTTTTCTCTTTTTTTCTGCCTGATGTATACTTTTTCACCTTTTCGACCGCATGATATCGAGAATAGACCGATAATTAAAAAAAATACGGTGATTGAACTAATTAATTACACAAAGCTACAAAAGTACTGGATTAATTCAAACAAATCATACAAATCATTAGGCTCCGTTCGAATGTACCAGTACAATTAAGCTACTCCCTCTTTTACCGTCACCATGTTTCCCGAACTGATAAACTGTATGTTTATTTAATATTTTGTATATAGAATTTTCTTTAAAAAATCAAATTACTCTATTTTTTAAGTTTGTAATGATTAATACTCAATTAATAATATGCTAATGACTCGTCTTGTTCGGTGTGTCCCTAAAAATAGCAGCCAAAACAAACGAACAAACTCAACAGTACTATGATATACTACCTCTGTTTCATATTATAAATCGTTTTGATTTTTTTCATAGTCGAACTTATTTAAGTTTGTCTAAGTTTACAGAAAAATATAACAATATTTTTAACACAAAACAAACATACTATCAAAATATTATATGTTAGTTCTAATGAATCTAATTTGGTGTCATAGATGTTGCAAAATTTTTCTATAAACTTGGTCAAACGTAAAGAAGTTTGATTAGGAAAAAAAGTCAAAACGACTTATAATATGAAACGGATGGAGTAGCATGAAACTTAGTTTGTATGATTGCAGCCATACTTCATCAATTGATCACTTAACGGCTTGCTTTAATTCTTGGCAGGCTATTATATTAGAGGTTAGGATGTCATGGACTAGTATATTTTGTTTGTGAACACAATTGTATCACTAGCCACTATGACCTCTAGTGTTACTTCTAAATGTTTTCAGACAGATAGAAATCAGTTGTACGGACCTATTTCTTCTTTATTTCCTTTGTTCTGATCACCATGTGAGCACTATTCAAGTGTTATTTGCTTTATTGCTTATGGTTCAGATGGCAGGTCCTTGATGCCTTCTAGAGGTCTATTACAGCCTGGTAAGTAAATATGGTCCCTTTCACTTGAGTAACTTCACTAACTTATTTAAGATAGTTTTTTTTACCGGATAAGATAGTTTTTTTTTTTTTGAAACAGCCTGCACAAGACAGTGTGACGTTTCATATGGATAGAGCAGAAAAATATTATAAGTCTACAACCTTAGGAGGCTATAGCCCAGAATGAGAAAAAAACCACCACACTATGCGCCTACAACCAGAACTCGCTACTGAACAAATATGAACATGACATCCCTAAAGGAAATGCTCCTTCAGGAAGGATACGACACTGAAAGTGCCACCGCAGCCCGTCCAGGGAATCCATGCCATGGTTTTCACCTGAAGAAAACCAACATGAAGGATAGGAAAAGATCACACAACAATGCCCCAAAGGGAGAGCAACGCCAGTAGGTGTCGCCGTTGCCGGACCGAATGGGCTAGGCTCCCTCGTGTGTCGAGCTCGCCTGTTGGAAACAGAAGCCACCCCCAACAGCACACCTTCGACGCGCAGCCACCGCGCCAGCACCTCACCACCGGCCAACCATCAAGCAGGAAATTGTGACCTCCGATATGATCTGAATCCATCCACATTGATAGGTTGGAGAGGGAGAAGGTGAGAGAGAAGAATGGATCCCCTCTTCTTAGCACTAGCCTGCCAACGTGGCCATCTTGTTGTAGCAAGGCGCCGTTGCACGAGGACTAGTGTGCCAAACCTGTCTCCCGCGATCCCGCCTGCTTCCCACCGGCTCTGCCTGCACCGGTCGTGGCCTCCCATGTGGACCCCCGTTTTTATAACAGAATCATTCGTGTAAACAGTACCATTTCCCTAGATCAAATAGTCTGGTACACACGAGTTCATAACTGAAATACCAAATGCGCATACACAAGAGTCTAGTGCTAATTATTACATCATAAGCCCACAGGCATTGTCTTAAATCATCGGACCGAGCGGTCCGGAATACATTCAAAAGCAGAAATAGATAAGGCAGCGGAATTTAGGCAGCGGCATGCCATTGCCACAGGCAACGACCGTACTAAGACCTACTGAGCGCCATCGTCTTCATCTCCCTCCTGGTAGTAGGCATAGGGATCCTCCGGAGCTTCATCTCCCGCTTCTGATTAAGTTTATATTTGCAAGGGTGAGTACCAACCGTACTCAGCAAGCCACCACATCAACAATGCATAGGATAGGGGTATTTCAAAGGATGGCTATGGTTCTTTTGCGCAAAGCAAATTTTGTAATTCTTTTCACAAGCCTAAGACCTAGCATTGACTGATCAAATTTTAGTACCAGTGTTTGTATTTAAACAACGACGGTTCTGTCCACCATCCATTGTGATCCCAAGGATAGCTTCCCGCCATTGAGTCGTTATGGTTTTCTGAGGACGCCCACCTTTCCCCTTCTCAGGAAGTGGCTCCAACAGCATAAAAATTCATCATGCAATAACCCATCCCACACAAGTTAAGAATTTAGAGTCTAGCCAAGTGTAATACATGTCCCGGTGCTCAATAACCGCGAGCACGGCTATTCGAATAGATTTGGTTTACTCACACTGCAGTGGATGTACACTTTACCCATACTCCGTGACTGCCCAACACATGAGCCTTGTCTCAACACATGAGACACGTCACGGCAAAGCTTTTCGATAACCTCGCATTGGCAGTACCCGCTCCATGAACTTTGCATCCTCATGCACTCCAGGCGTACACAGTTTCTAGCAGTGAGAGGAGTTCTGGCGCACCCAGGAAGGAAAGATTTACACCCAGGTATTAAGTTATCACTAGGTTCAACTCAACACACGACAGTTCTAGCAATGGCGACACCATTGTAGAGCCCCTACCTTACACATGAGAAACCACTATGCATGGATACTGCCTCCGCTCGGCTATTTACTCCGCTAGGTCTATCCCCATTCGAGAAGTGTGGTTGTACGGGGTCGTTTCATGCTTAACTTCATGGCTTGGTCCTTAATTGACCGGGGACGGTACTAGCCTTTCCCGGATACCACCCAAATCCACCGTCCGCCCCGGTCTAAAACAAATGTTTAATTCCTTTCATGTCACCATTATCATGGCAATGTGGCGCTCATGTCTCCACATGCCGCATTTCAATTACCTACCCAAAGGTAATTGCCCAAGCATATAATATTTGATAAATATGAGTATGCAAGATTCTAAAGTAGCATTTCTAAGCAAGTGTCATAATTGACTAGGGACTCATACGTAATCATGGTTACAAAGATTTAAAGGTGAACAATAAACAAGGCATGGCATAATCACAAATAGGATGTTCATCATTACATGCAATCTTATTTGTAAACAAAATTAATTTCATAATTGGGATCAACGTGATCAAAGAATAGTGATGACTTGCCTTGCTCAAGGTCTTGCGGGTCTTGGCCTTCACCCGGATCCGCGGCTCCCTCGGTCTCTATAGGTACGTGCGTAAGAACAATTTGAATTCGATTAGAATTCAAACAAAATCCAAATAATGACCAAATTGAAAAACGAGCGCGAGAGGTGAATTCTATATCGGCTATATTATTCGCGAAGTGGAATTATTCCTCCTAAGATATTTGTGTTTCTTAAGAAATTTTGCGATTTAAAGTCATGTCCTAAGATTTTATCTAATTATTTAGTCCTTAATTATATCTAGATCACTACCGCGAATTAGTCTCTTATAGAGTTTACTAAATATAATCTATAATAATCTATAAGAATTCATTTAATTGTTTAGTTCTTAACTACATCTATGATTGTAGTATTATTTTGCGGATACTATATTTTCATTAATCCTATAATTAAATTTTGCAATTTTATGACTATAATTGACCTACGATTAAATTCTAATTATTTTAAATTTTCTAAATTTCTAAATTTTACTCAAACGCCTATTTATTTTCTTTCTCTTTCTTTCTTTTTCTTTTCTTTTTCTTTTCTTTTTCTTTTCCCCTCTTTTTTCTTTCTTTTCTCTTTTCTTTTCTTTCTTTTTCTTCTCGTCCCTTTCTTTTCCCTTTTCTTTTCTCTCTCTCTTCTCTCCCTCCCGGCCCTTTTCTCCCTCTCTCTCTCGGCTTCTTGCCCACCCGGGCGGCGACGGTGATGGACGCAAGGGGAGGGGCGGCGGCTTACCGACGGCGGCGACGGCGACGGCGGCGACGGCGACGGAGGCGCAAGTGGCGCGGTGGCTCAAAGCAGCGGCGCGGCGGCCTAATGCGGCGGCGCGGCGGCGTGGAGGCGGCAGCGCGGTGGAGTGGGTAGAGGAGAGAAGGTGAGGATAGAGGGGGTGAGTGGGGAATGGTGAAGCTTATATAGGGGAGAGGGGGAGAGATAAGGGGGAAGAGAGGAGAGGGGAGAGGGGTGGTGACGCAACGGCGGCACGGGGTGCGAGGTGGGGGCACGCGGCGCTAGGAGACGCGACGGCTTCGTGGCGCGAGCGACGGCGCGGCAGCGAGGCGACGGGCGGGCCGCAGCGTGGCGACGGGATGGCGACGGCGACGGCGCGGCAGTGGTGGCGCGCGGCGCGAGGCGGCGATGGGATGCGCACGCGGCGACGGGATGGCGACGGCGACGGCGCGGCAGTGGGGGCGCGCGGCGCGAGG